CCAGGCCACGCAGGGCCAGGCGGGGGCTGCTCTTGGGTCCCCATCGGCAGAGTAGGACGGGGGTGGGCGTGGAGGCCCGGCTGCCCGCGCAGCACGGCGGTGCAGGCTGCTCTAGAACGGAAGCCCAGGTGACGCCGCGGGGCCGAGTGCTGGCAGTCACGTGGACGGTTCGGGAAGCTGAGAAAGAGGCCCGCTCACGGAGGCCCGGAGGTTCGATGGCGGTGCCTGCCGCTCCGGGACCCTCAGGCAGAGGCCCGCCCCCCGCACGGCGGCGCCCCGGGGCAGCACCCCGTTCTCCAGGGGCCCGTCCAGCCTCTGGTCTCACGTTTACAGGGTGACTGGCGGGCCGACTCCAGCTTCGCCTCCAGCTAAGTAGGTGACATTAGGGAGACTGTAAATGCCACGCGGACACTGGCAGGCAGCTACCCACCCAAGGACGGACGCGGGGTCCCGGGCAGCCCCAGCTGCGGCCCCCCCAGGGCTGGGCTCCAGGCTGCTCCAAGAAGGACGTTCACGGCGCGAAGACCGATAGCTCCCCTCTGTCCTGGGGGCACGCCGGCATGACGGAGGCCCGGGGAAGGGACAGCCCTGCCGTCTGGTCACTGCTCACACGTGCTCCGAGCACCCGCGTGGCAAACGCGAGGCCGGCTGCTCGCCTGCTGCTCTGGTCCCCAACCCGCCCGATGGCACTGGCGGCCGCGGCCCCGCCTGGGAGGTGAGGGCTGAGGCAGAGGGGCTGAGTCCTCGTCCAAGGACACACAGATGAGGACGAGTGACTCAACCCAGACCCTCGTGTCAGCTCCAGAAGCAGGGGAGGAACAAGGGAGATGGCTGAGGGGTAGGAACTTCCCAAACCAGAGTGTGCACCGTAGTAACTCACACTACTTAGCAAGGACCCCACAGGGGAGGGCTTTAAAGGTCAAAAAGACCTGAAAAACAGAGCTTTGTGCGTTCTCTCCCTTGTGGTTCAGGGACAGGCACCTGTGGTAATTCAGAGGAGGAAAGTCTGGCAAGCAAGGCCCCACGAGGATGCTTCTGTACTTCTTTTAGAGACCACACGGCTCCAGAACTCTGGAGGAACAGGCTCGGGGGTGGGGTGGGGTTCTGCCGGGCCCGCAGCCCACACCCACCGGGGCTGGGAGGGACTGAAGGTTAGAGAAGATTCCGAATTTCAGACTGTTTACCTGTTTGACAAAATCAGGAACTACCAAGTAACACGTGGGCTCGGCTGGTTTAAGAAAACTTATAAAAATAAAACCTATCTAAGAATAGTCAACAATTCAGATTTTTGTTCTGTTCCTAATTTTAAAAGGACGGAGCTGAGAAAAGGGAAGCAAAATGGCCAAGCGGCTGTGACAGAGGATGCCCGGCTGCCTCTGCGCCAAGAACACCCGAAGGACCCAGGGCCGAGGCCAGGGCGGGGGTCATGAGCTGAGGCGCCCGGGGGGTGGCACCCCTCACAGCCGCCACACGTAACCCGCTCGCCACACGGGGGCCGAGAGCAGACGTGCTCTCACATCCCGTCACAGAACACCAAGGCCCCCCCCGGCCACTGCTTCCTCCGAATTCCTGGCCCGCCTTTCGGAGCGTCGCCCAGAGGAGGGACTCTGCCTGCCCGCTGCTCCTGAACACGCTCTGCCTGCGTGTGACAGCCTAGACAGACAGGCCGGCACCTCGAAGGCAACCCATCTCTGCCCCCTCATGGCAGACGGTGCCTCCTGGGCAGACAGCACTTCTAGAAGGTACGTTAGCTTTCCTTCCCAGGATCTGCCGAACCTACACAGCTTCAAAATCAGAGCTTCCTTTCATGGGGGGATGCCGTGTCCGTGACGGCTGCTGCTGAGGGTCCACCCGCTCTTCCAGCCCTGCGCCAGCACCCTCTGCGAGGCATGCATAGGTGTCTGGGGCGGCGGCTGTTCCAACAGGTGTGTGTGCAGGTGTCAGAAGAGGTCTGGTGACAACGTCTTTCTGCGTGCTGGGGAAGACAGCATCCCCTTTCAAGCCGGAGGACTGGGAATCACCTGAGAGACCTGGTGGTTAAGATCTCATTCAGGAACGTTAACTGCTGAATTTATTTTCCTGAAAAGAGGTCAAGTAAAGTCATAAAGGCACACAGCGGGGTAAAAAATTCCCTTTGTCACGCATGGAAATGCCTGACAGTACCCGGCCTGAGACCTGGCCTGCCGCCCATTTCACACGGAGCCCGGCGGAACCCCGCGGGCGCTGGAGGGCAGGTGAGGCGGGACCCCGCCGCAGGCCGGGCGCCTTGGTTTGCAGAGAACATGTAATTATCCCAGGCAGCACGCACCGTGAAGCGGGACCCGAACAGCTGAGAGAAGGGCGTGCTGTTGTCTTACGCCCACGCCACACGGAAGGAACCCTTTCTCCCTCTGGACAGATGGGTTTCGGAGGGGACGCCTCAGCTCAGAGCAGCCTTTGTGGCCACGGCCCCAGCCGCCGCACGTGGCGGGTTTAACGGACTTTCTTCCCAGTCCTCAGACAGCGGCAACTGGCACTCGCTCGAGCGCTGCCTGAGGTGTGGAGAATCTGTCAAGTTCTCCCTGTCGCTTACCCTGACCGCAATTATACGGTCCATGTGCAGATTAGCTGCAAGTCATTCTTCCGCCAGGAGTGACAAGATCTCCCCAAATACAAGCCGGTGCCTCCTGTATCCCCGAGTGGCCGTCTGCGTCGCAGGGCAGGGCTGGCGCGCAAGGACGGGCGGAGTGCAGGGGGAACGCCTTCAAAAGAAGGGCATGACAACGGGAAAAGTGGCGGGGACAGCGGTGACACGGCAGGAACAGAGCGCAGCATTGTCACGGGCGGAGTAATCCTGTGACACGGTGCCGTCACTCACCGCCGGCTCCCTGCCGCGCCAGCCAGACATCAAAGGCTGCCCGAGCCCATCTTACATGCTCTTTACCGGCTAATCAGCCCATTCTTCCTGAAAGAAAGCCCCGCTCAATCCCCCGCACACAGGGGCACCGCCGTCCTGATGCCCATCTGCCGGCGCGGGTCAGCAGGAGCAGGAGGCGGCTCGCCCTCTCCCTAGTGGCTTCGCAAGGCAAGGCCGGCGCTGGCTCCCAGCCCCCGCCCCGCGCAGCCTCCCTGCCGGCTCTGCGCTCAGAGCTGGGTGGGAGCTGCTGTCGGATTAACGGCCACTAATGAGACCCCCGGTCGGAAAGGCGGGTCACCTGTGACAAGGGAGGGTGGTTGCGACCTCAATGATGTGCGGGGAGAGCAACGAGCAAGATGGGCTCCGGACCAGCATTCACCCGGCGGGTCTGTGCCCATCTCCTCCAAGTGTCGGCGTGAAAGGCGGTGGCAGGACGGCCACTCGTGACCTGACAGCGGGCCTCGTGGTTCTGCCACGCACTCAAAGCCGGGGTTCACAGGCGCAGGAATCAGGGGCCGGGGCCCAAGGACAGGAGCCTGCCTTTGGCGCGCTGCACCCCGAGTCCCGCGGAGTGTCCACCCTGGGGCAGAGCCGAGGCTGCGGCAGGGTGGGCAGTGCCCCGCACGCCTACCTGCCTGGGGGAAAGCAAGGCGGTATCTCAGCCTCCCCCCGGGCAGCAGGGAGGCCCCGGCCTCACAGAGAGAGTGCGGTCTTCTGTGAGAGCTCGCACAGTGAGGAAGTGAGCAGGCCTCTCGGAAACCCCAAGGCTGGAATGGCACTGGGCAAGCTCTCACCCAGCACACAGAGAGCCTCGGGGGTGCCAGGCCCCTGCACTGACTGAGCCGGGGGCCCTGGAGCCCCCCGCACTGGGCTCCAGCTCCACATCCCAGGGCTTCACCTGCACAGCCGGGGGAATGGAGGCACTGAGGAGCTGGGCTGGCGCGCACAAGCTCACAGCAGACGGGGCTGGGAGTGGAGTCCAAGCCCTGTGACTCCCAGATCAGCGGTCACTCCCTACGCCGGTGGTCCTTCTCCCTGTCCTTCCGCACCAGAGACACTGGGCCCCAGCCAGGCTGTGAATGCCACCAGCCCTCCTTAGGGACTGTGCAGGACAGACCCAGCACTGGCACCTGCTGGAGACGGGGCGCTGCCCCCAGGCCCTCCACAGACACAAAGGGCGCATGTGTTCTGACATCTGGCACCAACATGCACACATAAGGCTCTCCAGTGCACAAGACCTGTCCCACGCGCTCTGGGGCTCCCGGTGCCCCGTATCTGTTCCATGCATCCTTCCCACCCACGTGCTGCGTGGGCCACAGTGCCAACCACCCCCACCTCCCCGCACAGGGACGCACACACGGCGGCTCTGCAAGGCTGGGCTGCCTCCTGACGGGAGAACGTGCACGCCTGCGTCTTGCTGACAGAAATCAAGCAGAACATCCTGAAATTTGAAGATGGACTCAGCCCAGCAGCCAACCCACAGGCAACGGTCCTTCCTCGGACCCTGCTCTCCAGGCCGCGGACAGCCCCGCTCTGAGGGTGGGCGGGCGGGCCCCGGGGCTCACCCCGAAGCATGCTCGGCACTGGGGGTGCGTGTCAGCACCCAGGAGAGTTACTCGGGTGTCCTGAGCCAGCCTGCACAAGGGGCGGCTTCAACAGTGCCGCCCGCCCGCCTGGACAGGGTGTACCATGGGGTCCAACTTCAGGGGACCCCCAGAAGTCTTCACACGAGTCCCAGGGGCTTCCCGGGCCGGAGGTCAGGCGATGGCAAGTCCCGAGTGGCCCTGCTGACGGGCAGTGAAGACAGCCCGACACACCTGTCTTGCTGCTCCTGCCATTTATAGCCTGGACAGGAGGCCCCACCAAGTTTCTGCCGGCACCTCAAAAATGTTACGACTGGGAATCTTACCCTCCCGTTCCATGCACTTGTTATGCGGAGAGAAGGTCAGATGCTGGTGATAATTTATTGCAAAAATCTGAGACTGAAGAGGAAGTTCCCACAGGGCACCTGGCAGCCAACTGTGCCACGGTGCTGCCGCCAGCCCAGGCAGAGCTCGCCATGCCTACTGGACGACCGGCCCAGGACATGTTCGGCGCATCTTACCTCTTCACGTTTGCTTTCCTCGTCTTTATAGCCGAGACACCAAGCTTTCTGGGGGCATCTCTCAGCCCAAAGCTCTTGGCCACGTGGCCGAGGTGCAGCGCGCGGACGTGGAAGATGTGCTTCAGCTCCTGCGGGTAGGTGGTGTAGGCGCGGATGAAGGACTGCAGGGCTGCGAGAAAACCAAGGGGGCGGGCATCAGCACAGGGTCCCCAAACGCCACGTGCCCCCGCCAGGCAGCCGACCAGGGCAGGGTGTCCCCCAGGCCTCGGTGGCACATGACCGGCAGAACAACACGCACCACAACCTACATCTATACTTGTACTTTTAATTCATCAAAAACCCAAAAGACAAAAGCAAAAAAAAAAAAACCAACAAAAACCCTATAGGCTCCAATTAATTACCATTTAAACAAACCCAATATAATTGCAGACTTTACTGTGTGGCTGCTAACAGCCCCAGAGGGCAGGGCCCTGTCGTCCTCACTGGTCCCTGGCACACAGAGTGAACAGAAGGGGAGGAGCGAAGAAAGTAAAATGTACTCAATGTAGGATAAATGGGATCATTAGACCTTTATGTTAGAAAAAAAATTTGCTAAGTCAATTTTATGTATCCTCCAATAGTTAATAGGCGCAAATGTTGTGAAACTCAGGCAGTCCCCAGGCTCTGTGAGTGTCCTCATGTTTACTGAGGAGGCACGGCGTCCCCACAAACGGTGCTCCACTGCGAGCCCTGCCTGCAGCCCCCCAGTCCAGAGCAACCCCTGGGGCCACCGCGTCGAGTCCTGGGGGTTCTGAAACCAAATCTGTGCTCAAGTACCCAGGACTGACTGGTACAGGCTTCTTCCCCATTCAACGAATGCGTAAAAGGAAATGAAATAGGATTTCTAAAGGAGAAAAAAAATGACTAAATTTTGAAAGCAGCCCCCAGAACAGTGAGTCCGTCCCCAGACGGCCACCAACAGTTTGGAGACAGTCCACCACGAGAGCCCCAGGCCCATTCCACAGGTAAGGCCGGGCTCTGCTCTAGGCCTGGGCTGGGCGGCCAGAGAAGGGCTGGGCTCGGTTCCCCGGAGGGTGGCACTCTGGCCACAGTGACTCCCGTGAGGAAGGGTCTTCCCGCAAGGAAGGGTCTTCCCGCAGTCGGTCCCCCGAACATCCTACAGGACCAACAAAACCCACGAGCCTGCCCCTTGTGGCCCGGCAGCAGGGCCCGAGGGGCTTGCTCTGAAAAGTAGCCCCCGCCGCTGCACACCACACCCCACCTCCTGGGGGGGCGGGCAGGTGCTGGACACCGGCCGCTCCAGCCCTTGCTTGCTGGGCCGCTGGGCCAGCAAGTTTGCCCACAGCTTAGATGCGATATCCCAGCAGCACCTGGAGATCGGCGTTTATGAACAGTAATAAAAAGTGTCATTTTAGCAGATCAGCTCCTGGAAGGATCCTGGGAATCCATCAAAGCTCTATTTACTGAGCAAAGTGAACTCCTTTTCCCAATCGATGAGAAATAATAACCCAGGCAACTCCTCTGTACCCCTCTCTTAAACCTGTGCTTCCTCCCCTTTTTAATAACCGGGGACTGGCTGCTCTTTCAAAGGGAACCTATGACGCTTCAAATGGCCCCTGCTGCCCGGAGGGCCCTGACATCAGGGTCCGGACCCAGGGCTCCACCTCCCGGTCCTGGAGGGGACGCAGCCCAGCCTCCAGGGCCCAGGTGTCTCCTCCGAGGAGCCAGGCCGAAGCCTTCCAGACCAAGCCGCTCATACCACGGAACTGGCGTTTTCCAAGTCTGTCACCCAAACACTGGTCCCAGCCTCTCCAGTCACCCCTGTCCTCTGCCGAGGCAGACAGTGCCCGCGTCCCCCTTCTCCTCGCCTCCACACCAATCCCAAGAGCCAAGGATGGAGACCCTGTCCCAGGAGACCTGGGGGCCCAGCCCGCAGCGTTACAGAGACAAGTTTTCCACAAAACAGCAGCGCTTCCTCTCTGGACAGCTGCCCATTTTAACGGAACCTCCTTGTCCTGCAGGCTCCTGTCCCACTGGGGAGAGACGGTTGGCCATCCTCATACCCTCACCTAGACCCCTCGCGTGAGTCGCCCAGACAGGCGGGGATTTGGGATGAGGCAGCAGCCGTGTGCAGGAACGGGCTGCCGGGCCCAGACCAGCAAGGAGCAGAGGAGTAGCAGGAGCGGACATTTCTTCGGGACGGCGGGTGGAGCTACAGCCTGAGCATGAGCGCCCCGTGCACGGATCCCTAGTTCGGAGCCAGATGGTGGCCAAATTAAAGGGAATCTGTTTTAAAATACCCTACACAGATGTTTTTGCCCCTTTTCAAAGAATCGAATTTATTTCTGGGCATCTGATCAGGCATGGTGGTGTCTCACGGACGATGCTTAGGGTCCAAGAGGTAGGGCAGAGCCAACCCCAGCCGGGAGTGCGGGGGCTCGCCCCCCCAGCCCTGGGGAGCACCCACCTCCCCACGTGAGAGCACTTGCATTTCGAGACCTGAATCCACAGCCACAGCTGCCCAGAGGAAGGGGGCCGTTACCAGTGTCTGAGGAACAAGGACTCAGGCCCAGCACCCAGCCCGCCTCGGACACACGAAGGGGAGTGGGCTGACTCGTCCCCGGAGGCCTGGATTTTCTTGAGAAGCGTCCCTCGCAAGCCCCGGCCTTTGGGGAGAGCCGGAGGCGGGCGGAATGACCCGCCAGAGAAGAGGTAACTTTCGGGTACGGGCTTCCCCTCGGGGGCCTGGAGACCGAGCCTGCGTCACCACAAGGGTCACCACCCGAATCTCTAGCTAAAGAGACGCGAGAAACGAGGGGGGGCACGGCGACTGACAGCAGCGAATGCTGGTCTCGAACAAGCACGGGGTCAGAAACGTGTTTCCATCCAGTTCTCTGCCCTGAAGGCAAAGCCAGTGGCTCCCTGAGCGATCCAGGAGGGGGCTCTGAAATGGCTCAGCAGGAAGGCGAGGCCGGAGGGCAGAATTTGCATATGCAAAGGCCTGGAATGCAAAAGCTGGCACCACTACGGGGTGCAGATATGGGTATGTCTCCCCAGCCGTTGGAACTCAGTCCTAAGTAACAGGAGAGACGTCCAGAGCAAAGTGCGTTTTGTCTGCAGTGGGTGACCGAGACCTGCTACAAGCGGTTGTCCCAAGCCATCACCAATCTGGTGTGGAAATCAATTAGCAGATAAGAACAATGATACATTTCTTTCCTTCCTGGTATAAACTGATGGGGAGTGGCCCCCTCCAATAGCCTTTCAAAGGAAAACAAGTACCACTGTCTGTTTCCTGGTGTTAACAAATTCCCTGGTAAAGACGAGAAACCACACTCGCTAAGATCAGTCGCTGTAACTTTTACTCCGCTGACCCAGACACCTTAGAGCGGTTGCGGTCTCCCTAGAATGTCGGAAATACATCTGGCACCCAAGTTGAAGGTGCTGGTGTGGGTTTGATGTACTTCTTTTCATTGCAACTTCATTATTAAACCTGGAATTCTGCACAGCAAGCTGAGTCTGCCTAACTTTCTGCAAATGGCCAAGCTCTGCAAAGTGGCACTGTGACAAATACTCCCTTCCTCCTGGGACGTGTCCCAGCGCATCTCTAAGGCAGGTTCTTAGGAAAACCCTTAGGTACTTACTGTTGAATTCACTTCAGGGACACGCTCAGGTTTTACTGAGACTGTTGTCACGTCCCGGGCTGGAAGGCGGCACACGGATTGCGCACCAGCGGTTGGGGGGCAAACACTGGGCCTTGGCCGGCACCCACGGGGGGCTGAGGTGTGCACGAGGTGCTCGGCAAACACCGGCCCCCCAACCCGTGTCTGCCGTCCACTTCCTGAAGGCCCCAGTCGCCCCGCAGCCCCCCACTCAGGGCGGCCCCGGGCCCTCTGACCGCCTCCAAGCCCGAGGTGCTCCGGGCGACGGGCCTCTGCCACCCTTCTCTCTGCTCAGCCACGCTGCCTTCTGAGTCCCTGGCACCCCTGTCCCCACTGCCTCTAATGCCTGCTGTCCAGGCAACAAGCCTGACCCCTCTTCGGGTTTTTGCTCCAGTGTCCCCTTCGCAACAGGGCTCACTCTGACCCTGTTTAAAATGCACTCTCGTCCTGCCCAGTGTGACTCGGCCGGGCGGGGGTCGCCCCACCGATCGTGAGGTCGCCGTTCGCTTCCTGGTGGGGGCACAGGCCCGGACTGCGGGTTCGGTCCCTGGTTGGGATGCACACGAGAGGTAACCGATCCGTTTCTCGCTCACGTCGATGCTTCTCTCCTGTCTCCCTCCCTGCCTCTTTCTGAGAACATATTTTTTAAAAGTGCTCTCTGCCCCGTCACCCTCTTCACAGTGCTGTGCCCTGCTCCACTGCTTCCGTAGTTCTGACCACCTTTTAACAGACTAGTTTATGTATAGCCTATGTTATGTTTATTATGCTCACTGTCCACGCCCCAACAGAATGTTAGGAAGGTGAGGATCTTTATCTGTTTTGATCCCTGAGTATCCCAAGCACCTAGAATAGTGCCCAACTTAGCACACATTTGTTAAATGATTCTTAAAAATTTTGCTTCATAAAAGGGAGAAGAGGATGCCGTGGCGTTCATATGCAGTAAGTCCTCACTTCCAGCTCTGCCAGCCTCACTGGCATAAACAGGTTCCGTCCCTGTGGCATCTCATCTGTGTTGTGACAAAATGACGCTATTCGAGGACCTGCTGCGGCCCCCGCATCATGGGGAAGTCGCACCAGCACGCACGAGTCGCCAGCCAAGGCACAGAAGGCCCCACCCCGAAGTTGGCCAGCCCCCACACTCTGCCCTGTGCCCCAGCCCGACGCTGCGTCCACCCAACGCCCGGCGATCCCAGAAGGCAATGTGTGCTGCGAGGGTCTGAGCGCTAAGCTGATGCCGAACTCTCTTACGAACAGCCTGGGAACTGGTTCACGGCCTGTGGCCCTTCCTCAGTGACGTTCTTTCCCATTTTTCTTTGTACTTCCAAACAGGACTTCTTAGGGCTATCATCAGCCCTCCTTCACCTCTAATTTTCATCTCTACTTCTACTGACATGTCATGGCACTTGTACCCAGTTTTCAAAGGAGAAAACTGGATCCCCGAGCCCCACGCAGCCGGGCCGAAGCTCCCGTCCCGGGGGAGGCCGCCACAGAGCCTCATCTGTGCGGGGCCTGGGGGAGGGGAAACCAACATAGAGTACCCCTTCAGAGCCCTCCCCCGGGCCTGTTTCCGCGCCCCGCAGAATTAGGGGCGGGTGGCTTCTGCTGGTGAGCAGGGACGCCTGCAGGCCTCTCAGCCCGTGCGTGTGTGCGGGCGGGGGCGCGGGCACAGCCCTGCCACCTACGACGTGACCGACCTCTCTTTGCCCAGGAGACAGTCTTCTCGCTGGAGTGCACGTAATCCTCAAACACCGTCTGCAGGATCGTGGCTCGCTCCTGGATTTCCTGGGGGCCGGCGGCCTGGGCTTCCTGGGAGGCGCGGAAGGGTTAAAGCAGAGGCGGATCAGAGCCAGGAATAATGAAGCAGTTTCTAATAGACTTAATAACAGTAAAATCACACAGGAGCCACCCAGGGGCCAGCGAGGGTAATCCTTCCAATATTACCAGGGAAGAAGAGGGGAGCTGTAACGCTGTCCAAGCAGGCGAAGGCGAGGCGCTCTGCGACACAGCGGGCCAGGGCTGCTTGTTTATTTACTCATGGCCTGACTTTTCTTCCTGGCCTCTTATGGCTCCTGCGCGCAAAGTCCACTGGAGACACTTTGGAACTTTCCAGGTCCGGATTAGCCATTTAAAACATCACCCAACCTGAGCTGCTTCCAAAGGACTCTCACCGCCTGCTCGGCCTCAGCTCTCCCCCTTCCCTCGCGCCTGCCCCGGAGCCCTGGCGGCTCCTTGTTTGGAGCTGGAGCTGGAGCGCCCCCCTGAAGCTCAGGGCGTGCTCCCTCCTTCCAGGGCGGCCAGGCAGGGCTCCAGACTCCGCCCTTCACTGCTCAGAGCTCCCCAGAACCTAGGAACCTAGGGAGGTGCCTGCTGCTCTGGTCAGCCACCCCTCAAGTGGAGAGTCACATCTGGGTGTGACAGAGTGTAAACAAAACACTTTCTTTCCATCCTTGAACAATCTCACAGAAAGGATTTCTTTTGTTCGTAGCCCTCTGGAAAACGAGTGGTTTTTGTTTCTCTCTTAAAAGTGAATGTTGAAGGTGAGACCGAGAGGCAAAAGCACCCATTCTCAGCCCCGTCTGGCTAACGGGCTGGCTCTTTGAATGCTGCTGAGCCCCCAGGGCAGGGCCAGGGAGGCACCCAGCCCCCAGCGGCCCCCGCCCCGCCCCCACGGAGGCCCGGCCTGGCTGCCGTGCCTGACCGAGACTCTGAGTCCCTTTCACTTTGAAAGCTGCCAGAGGAGAACAAAGGGAGAGAAGGAAACGCTGCGTTCTCCTGGATCGACGTTCATTTCCGTATTAAGAGAGACTTATAACAACCGGAAGGTGTTTTTAGTTTAGTCAAATCACTCCTGCTCCCTGTTTGCGGATGGCAGTCTGGCTGATGCCACAGTACACGGTCCCCTGAGGGGTTTCTCCCCACAAGTGTCAAGAGAAAAGTCACTCCGGAGCTGTGTTACGAAAGTGGACATTTGCTGTTGTCATTAGCAAGGATTTTCTTGCCCTTTTAACTGATGTGAAATGCAAACTTTTCTGCGCGGCCCTCCTCTCGTTAAGCCACCTCTGCAGTGCAACTGTCACCTTCCTCGCGTTTTTTTAAAAAAAATATGAATGTGAAATTAGCGAGGATGCCCTTTCCCCTGGCGGACAGAATCCTCTGTTATTAAAAAGTAAAGCACTTTAATAATGAAAACTTTTTCCTCTTTTTCCTGTGTTTTAACTGTTTAAAATTAATGAGAAGGGCAGAATGGCTGTCAAAGCGATATTGAAAGCCGGGCAGCCAGGACCGAATAAGCACAAAAATCCCTCTAGAGTGTTAAATAAACAGAGCTCCAGCCCTCTCGAATCCCTCTGTTGGTTATTGTATACATTCTGTAACAGCTCTCAGAATAGATCTGAGAGCCAGGGAGGCAGGGAGGTTTCAGAATTCCAATAAAGGCCTCAAATTAAAGACAGCCTGGTGCGAATTCCAGGAGAAAATTAAAGAGACCTCAAGCTTAAGTGACAGGTGACTTGCTTCTGTGACACAACTGTCAGGGGATTTAGTGATAATATGGCAATATATTACAAAGGGCTTTTCTTATTCCCCCCTTTAGGTTTCAAAATGAGGCATCTTTTCTTCCAACAAAAAAAAAAAATTACATATACATACATATAAAAAATATGAGTGTATACAAGTGGAATGTGTAGGAAAAGGAGTTAAAACTAGGTTCACACGTTGGAAATGATGAGGTCAGTTTTAGTAAAATATAAAAAAGTTAATGGCAGAAAACAATATATTTCTGAAAAAGCATGTCTTACTCCCCCAACCTCCGCTTCCAGAAATACTTTATTTCCAACTTGCCCCTCCTGAGAATGAAGGAGGTATTTTTCAGTTGTCTTCTGGGGAGGACAGTCTAAATTTAAACTGAAGACAGAGGGGCAGAGTCGCGTGGTGCTGGCTCAGCCCAGACAGGCGCGCGCTCCCGTAATGAGAGGGGTCAGGTCCCCGGGGCAGGGCGCCCCCGCGGGCCGGCTCGCCCTCCCCGAGAGGCACAGGCGCAGTGCTGGCTCACGAAGCCCACCTAATGAAGCCCATCGGCACCGAGCGGCCCGCGGGCGGTTTGGAAAAGCACACCTCCCAGTCTGTCCACACACAGCCCCCTTTTTCTGGAAGACCCTACAGATCTCGGAGAGAACAGGTGCTCAGAGACAACTAAGCAAGGAGCTAGTGATCTTATTTTAATTTCAATACCGATGTCTCCCAATGCCGGTGACAGTTTTTATTAGGATAAATTCGCAGGCATATTTCACAAGACAAAAGAGCTTACAGGAAAAACGTGTATGTACTTTGAAGATAAAAATTCCACACCTATCAAGAAGCAACAGATGAGTTTCAGGTAACTTTGCCCAATTATTTTTGTTGTAAAAACTTCTAAGTGGTAGCAGTGGTGGGGGAGAGTAGCTTTTCTGCAGGAAGCACACGTCTGGATATTGTCAACTTCCCAAGTATTTTAAAACTAAATGAAAGGATTTTGTTTTAATCACTTTATTGCCAAGCTGAGTTTTACCCCCAAAGTCCCTAGCAACTTCTGAGTGCCTCCCAGTAAAGTTGCAGGATCAAACGTATTCTCTTTGTAGTGGGTGAACACTCACACACCCAGGAACAGCTGTATATATTTTATACACCTAAATATGAAATATACATTTTACAGATGCTTCCCTCGCTTGCTTCCTCTTCACAGGAGCCCACAGACATACGTGCCGAAGGGACATTCACAGCGGACTCCGGCTGAGCGGTGGGGAGGGCAGGGCCATGAGCCATCCAGTGCGTGCGGGACAGGCCTGTGCGCTGGGCCCGCGTCTACCTGCCCAGCCCCACGCGAGCACCAGAGCCGCCCTGGCTCAGGCCACGAACAGACCACTGCGCCCCTCACTGGGCACAGCGCTGACAGTGGACCCGGCACCTACTTGTCCCTTCCATTCTTCACGTGGGCCACGCAAAAAAACACTGCCAGGCTGTGAAGCTATATGATGATTAGTAACATTGTCCATTTAGTTTAATTTTTCTTTGTCCTCTGCCTTAAAGGTAAACTGGGTCAAACAAGTCAGTTTTTCATGATCATGACATCTAGAATCCAGTAAGACTGAGTTTTCTAAGTTAACCAGGTGCTTTGTTGTCAGTTAAAGCCGACCCCTGCTTAGCAATTTTTCTTTCTAAAAACAAAGATCACCAAACTTTAAAAGCATCAAACCACTCTACTCACTGTGACCCACCACGGCAGGAGCCTGGGGTCTGGATGGACCCCCACGGCCCAGGGCATGTGGAGCGCTTCACGCCCCACCCTACTTGAGCCTGCCAAGTACCCTGCGAGGCGGGCACTCCGGTCCCCCCATTTTACAGATGGGGAGACTGAGGCTGGGGAAGGCGAGCCGGCCTGTGGGGCAGCACCGCCAATTGTGAAGCAAGGACTCCAGCCCAAGCGTGAGCGACTCTGGGCCCGGTCCAGCTTCAGGGCTGGCCAAGGCCAAAGCCGAGGCCAAGGCTCTGAGAGAAGCAAGGCTGCCGGGCCACAGAGGGCGATGCTGGAAATGGCTCTGCTTGCCCTTGAAGAGCAGAGGGGACTGCTGCTGCTCTGCTCCTCTAGGGACTGTCCTCTTCGGGGGAGGGGCGTCTGGGCCCTGCCAGCGTCCAGACGCGCAGGCGCATGCCACACGCCAGGGTAAACACCCACACCGCAGCTGGGCCTGGAGTCTCAGCGAGACCGGGCTCAGCAAACTCCCAGTCTCGGCCGTGGTTCACGGCTCTGCTCCCATTTCTGGGGAGCCCGCAGATGCTAACGTTCCACTCCCGTGCCGCAGCGAAAGGCTTCACGTCACTGAGTGGCCTCGTAACTTCACATCTGCTCCTGACTGATGTGACAATGGTGATGATGACTAGCAGCAACAAGAGCAATAATAATAAAATGCCCTTTGGTACCTGTGCTTGCTTTTTGGGTTATTTCATACCCAATCCTCCCGTGTCTTATGAGAAGTGTACTAATACTGTCTTCATTTTACACATGAAGAGACTGAGCGCCAGGAAGGTCCAGGAGTGCCCGAAGTCACACCGCTGGAAGCTGATCCGGAGCGACCTGAGGCCACGCTCTCAGCCACTCTGCATGCCTCCTCACGCAGCTCCCAGAGCTGTGCGGGGGCCCCAGGAAGGAACCGTGGGACCACTAAAAACCCCAACCAGAAGGGGCGGTCACTGCAGAAGATCAGAGGTGTGCTGAGACCCTGAGCGTGTCCTCAGTGGCTGGTCAGTCCCCTGACAACACACTGTTAAGGAGGGATGGTCCCAAGTCTCGTGTGGCTGGGATGTTTTAAAGGAAACAGCCCTTAAAGTAACCTGCTGGCCAACTGAGGTTTTAATCACTTTTGTTACTCACAGGGAACTTTGCTGCAAACCATTTACTGACCAAATTTCACCTCTACAGAAACGGCTAACATGGCCCAATTTAGGAAGGAACAGAGTTCCCTCTTCTGGGTTTCGTTACTGCCAGGGAGGCCCGCTGGTGCGTGAGGACGTGTGCCCTGAGGTTCACTGCTTGCTCTTGCGCCCCAGGAGGACAGACGATGACAAGTGCGCCCTGTCCCTGCTCCTCCACCTCTGCACCTTGTAGCTCCGCAGGGAGGACTAAACAGGACCGAGCGCGGGAAGGGTGCAGGGCCACCCCGAGCGCAGCACGCCCGCAGCTGGGGGCGCCGCGACCCTCCCGCCCTGTCCCTGATGCCACTTTCCTCTCGTCCTTGCGGGACCAAGAGACCCTGGGCCAGGGCAGTGCGGTCGAGTCCCTCCTCGGGGAGGGCGTCGATCCAAACAGACACACAGGCCTGTGGGGAAACGGAACTGCAGCTCGATCTACTTGGCTCTGGTTTTCCAGTCTCTCCTCGCGCTCAGGAAAACAAATGCAAAATATTCAAATGATGAACACTTCACAGACAAAAACCACAGGCAGCGCCAGCACACGCACGCACACATGGGGGATCCCGAGGGAAGCGCCAAGTGAGGTGCGGAACCCACCCGGGCAGGGAGCCTCTGGCAGGCACCAGAAAGGTGCCCGGGGCCGTGGGCAGCAGCTCGGGCCCTCCACAGGGAACTGCCCAGACAGCAGCAACGTCCCTCCTTAATGATCTCGCCTTCACTCTTCCTATGTGCACGGCACACCTTAAAAAAAGTGGATGAATGAAGGGTGTCTGAAAAGAACCAAGCGGACGGCCTGTCAGCTGGCCTTGGCGACAATCTGGGGAAACCCCTCCAGGGCGGCACGTGTGACCCTGCCTGGTCCTGGGAAGGCTGCTGCCGCGGGGCAGACTCCCAGGACGGGCTGTGGCCCCCTCGCTGGGTGAGACCAGCAAAGACACCCAGAAGCAACACAGGGAAAAGGCATAGCCACGTTTGGCCTCACCTGTTGTCCCTGATCCTCCAACATGCGTTTGGTTTGACAGAGGAAACAACCGTCCTATCACAGAACCTCCGCTGCCTCGAATCAAGAAGTGCGTCACGGCTCAGTAGCAAACATGATGAATAATAAACCTCACCTGGCTTCCCCGTCGTCTGCCTTTAAAACAATCGTGCCTTGTCAGAACAGACAAAATCTCTTCCATCTTCATCTCAGAAACACTGTAAAAGAAAGGGCAGAGCAAAATAAACTCCTCGTTCTCTCAAAAGCATCCAGGCTCTTGATACACAAAACTGGCCTCTTCTCAAGCTAGAAATAAGTAGCAGCTACGTGTCACGAAGAGGGGCCACTCTGCTAGTCCTTTAGGAGCCCGGAAGGGAGGGCCCCTGCCAGTGGGCGATATTCCCGACAGCGCCTTCCTCCCCGATGAACTGTAAATGGTTGCATTTAGAATTTCCTTTTCAGGGACCATGTCATTTTTTAATAAACCTCAAATACTAAATAAGTAGGCCTGGTTATTGATTTATGACCTTGACTTGAGCAGATGATGAAATATCAACAAAAACATTTCTGAGAGTCCCTTTGATTTTTGACTTAAAAGAATGTGGGGGATGGGGGCGCTAAAGACCCTGAATGCTGGGACCAACGCCCCCGAAGGCTCACAGGGGCCCAGCCCCTGCCGTGCATGCGCCAGAGCCCTCTCCCAATTCTGCGAGGATCTCTGTGACTCATCTGTTTGTCATTTAAGGGGGGCCAACGTGCTCTGCTGAAGCCAGAGCTACGTGCGGACGGCTGAGAGCAGAGGCCAGGTCCTTCCTGGCCGGAGCCAGCAGAGGCCACGCAGAACCGTGAGGCCCGGGGAGCCGCCCTCGCCGCCGTCCAGCAGCCACGCGCTCGTCGGCAGGCGCGCTCGCACAGTCGTGTGTTAGAGGCTAAGGGGACGGGAGAGGCGGAAAACACTTCCCAGAAGGAGGGGAAAGGGAGGGCGTCCCGGGGGAGAAAACCAGATCCTGGGAAGATAAATGACCTTCTTGTATGTTGCTGTTATGGCAGATTAAACCACGAGTGGCCACCTCTCATGCAGGTCAAAGCAATGCCCCCCGCGCCCCCAAAGGCCTGCACGAACGCGTCCCATCTGACAGCCATTCACCGGGGTGTGTTGCCAGCCCGGGGGGCCCCCGCCCCCTCGCCACTGCAGCGCCTGGCCTGTGGGGACAGAGAATCTTTGTGCAGCAGCGAGAGTCACCAGGGAAGGCGGAGTGCGCGCTGGAGGGTCGGGCTTGAGGAGAGGCTCAGGGTTTCTTGGAAAATCTATTTTTCCTTTGAAAAAGACAGCTTATGGCACTGAATTCCCTCTTACTGAGGCCTGGGCATCTGAAGGAGGTGACGATACAGCCCAGTCCCATCTTCTCCTTTGTCTCTCTGACCTGCCTCCATCCATCCCTTTTCTCTTGAAGAAAAATAAAGGAGAAACACGAAAGTGAAAGAAACGAGAACTTAAGGTCAAATCTTGAACAGGGAGAAAGGAAAAGGAATAATGCCATTCATGGTCGGGGCACAGAGAACTAAACGCACCACAGAAAGGCCACTTTTCTCAAAGGCGCGTGTCCACGTGACGAGGCCGAGGGCCATCCTACCCAACGTGGACGGCACCGGGCAGGGACGCCTCCCAGTTTCAAAGGGCCTCCCTCCTGTTCCCAGCAGCCCTGGTTTCCGGGGAACAACGCACAGCTACTCTGCTTAGTTACAGTTCTATCAACAGACCTGAACCACCCCCCTTACTAAAAGGGATACAGAAATAAATTCAAGGAACTGTCTTATGCCTGATCTAAGAAACACACGCTTTGATGAGGCATTTACATTTTAATAAACCAATGATGACTTTCATTAGAAACACTTGGAAGTGGGAAACGCGAAGGAGCTGGCAAATACAAAGAAGTCAGAAGGACAGGAAACAAAGCTCCGCGCTTTCAGAGGAAGAGGCAGCGGCCCAGGGGCCACCCGCCCCCTGCGCCGCCTGCGGAGCTGAGCTGCCACGGCGAGACGAACGGCGCGGGCTGCGAGGCAGGCAGCACCGAGCTGCCCAGGGCCCCGGCTGCCGCCCCGGACCTTCCCTGCCGTTCATCAGCCATCCCGGCGCCCCAGGTGCCCAGGCACAAAACGCGCACAGTCTGCCTTTAAAAAAAAAAATTTAGGGGTATATTCTGGATTACAGAAATGTTCGAAGTCTTACTCTGCCATCAGTTTTTATGAGATGCAGTGTTTCTGGTATTAAGTCAAAGAACAGTCTATATTCAGATACCCTCAAAGGGACCACAGGAGGCGCAACGCCTGGCTCTCACCGTGACTCAGACCTGACACCTACTTGGCTTGGGCACACTGAGCCCAAGCAGCAGGCGGGCGACCCAGGCAGAGACATGTCCACGGCTGACTCTGGGGGCAGAAAGCAGCGACGCTGGACTCCTGAGGACTCTGCCCCCCATAATGAATGTTCTTAGGCCCCCTGGTGCCTTCTCCACATAAACCAAACTCCCCTTCTCGGGACCCCGTCTTCGTCCTTCTGGGCTTCCGCTCCAAGTCCCAGTCCCTGGCACCCCCGAGCTGTGCTCGGAAGGGAACAGCGTGCTGAATTCCCCACGGATGCTGCGGGCCTACTATCTTCCCAGAGGAGGTCATCCTACAGGATGGCCATACTTTTTTGTCTCTAAAACATACCTGGCTCACTGGTAAACCGTGCGGCTGCTGAGTGTTATTCTCCCTTTCAGGTCTGGGTGCACAGGTGAGCTGTCAGAGCCGTCAGCCTGAACGTGCTTCAGAAAACCCACAAGAGCAAGAGCAGCGGGTAGCTCTGCTGATAACTGAGGCTGGGTAATTATCCTCCGACTTCCTGTTATCACCCATTGTTCTGAGAGCACATCAAGCGAGCAGGGGAGAACGCCCGGCAGCGACAGGGAGGAGGGGAGCCCCTGAACCTCCAGGTCTGGGGTGGAGGCAGGGAAGGACCCGTGGAGCGAGGGCGAGGCTGCTCCTCCTGGGCAGTGGCTGCACCTCCTGGGGCGGGGAGGGCGGCCACACACACTTCTGCAGACATGCTCCCTAGGCGTGCAATGCCCGGGACAGAGAGACAGCCCCCAGCCTGTGGGCACAGGGAACAGGTTATGTCACTGGGTTTTCATTTCAATCCCCCAGGATTTCGGGGGACACGACCTGGTAGGGCACCGGCCTGGACACGGACAGGGCCGCAGCGAGAAGGCCAGCCAGCCTCCAGCCCCAGGGGGCCAAGTCCAGCCAGAGATGAAGCTCTCAGTGACAAATGACTAACCAACATGGGATTTCTCTTGTAAGTAAAATATGCATGTCCTCCTGACATAAAACCACCCTTTCAACTGAAAAACTGTATTAAGATGAGACATATTAAATAAAAGGAAAACACAAACTACCCTTTAAAGTGACCCACTTTTAGCCCACTTGAAACTGACCATACTTGGGAGGAGTGGGTCCCAGCCGCCCTCCCCCCAGCACAAGGCGATCAGGAACATTTTCTGAAGAAGCTGTAGTCCCTGCAAGTTCACACCAGCAACCCTGAGAGAGTGCCAGGCAGCAAGAGAGGACCCTGCCGGTGCTGGCGGGGACAGCCATACGCACCCATCTCTGCCAGCGGGTGGCCTGCCCTGGGCCCCGGGACCCCCAGAGCAGGTCCGGGTGTGCGATGCACCGACCTCCCAGGCGAGTCTGGGGACGCCACCGGGTGCCTCACGTAAAGCACGGGCCTGAGTCAAGGGGAGCACTGGACGCAAGACCCTGTGTTCAGCTGCGCAGCCGAGTCACGTGCCAGCGTCCCAGCGTGGGTCCTGGGGGGCGCCCGAGCAGCCCTCGGGGCAGACGTGGCTCTTCCAGCGCCTCTAAGAATTTTACGCACCACTGTGCTTTGTCTGAGCAGAAGTTCTTGAGCGTGGACCAGTGTGAACAACTGCATGCCTTTAGAAGCCTATTATTTAGAGCTTGTTATGTCAGGTGCCAGAGATTTTATGGAAAATATGACAAAACACATTAATTTCTGGGGCCCTGCAAATTCTTTCTGCTTGCATTACAATCACTCTCGGCTGGGCTGAGGCGTTGGTCTGTGAGCTTGCTTCATCTCTGAGAGGCCAGGGCTGGACGGGAGCCCCTGGCGCGGCTTCCATGTTCCCGAGGCCTGCTGCGCCCGGGACCAGGGCTGGGACCAGGGGCCCCGCGCAGGGGACCGGGGGCGCTGCCCCCTGGGCATGCAGGCACACTCCGGCGGGCCCCGACAGCTTCCTCTGGGTGTGCGCTCCTCAGGGAAGGGGCGCTGTGTGATGAGTAAAAAAGTGTTATTTTTTTCAAAGACAAACCAACTTTAAAGGTATGAAGCGTTAACTGCAGGAGAGAAGCACCGCATCCAGAAGAGCGCTCCCAGAGGCCGGCTGCGAGCACGCGGAAGCGCAGGCCTCCGTCTACGAGAACCGCAGACGGCAACAGGCCGTCCTGGGCCTTAGCCTCGCCCTCAATGAGAGTTGGCATGTGCTGATGGCAATAAGGGTTTTCATTTTTGCCACTGGCTATTCTGGGACTCATTTAGGGATCACAAGGGTTAATGGCTCTTCGTCAGCTTACAAGGCCCAGCCACTATAAAAAGTGACAGAAAGTTAATTAGGTGAGATCAGCCGAAACCCCGTTCAGGTTTCTGACTCACTTGATTTTGTGAGAAGCCAACGAGTTGACATATTCTGCCTCCGAAGGCGCCAGGACGAGCAGGCTGCTCCCGCGGCAGCCAATGCGGGCGGTCCTCCCGATCCGGTGGATGTACTCAGCCGGTGACGACGGCGCGTTGTACTAAAAAGGGTAACAGAAATGAAGGCATTCACTGATCAAGGCAGCGCCATTAATTGGAAGTGCGATACCACTCACCTGCCTCCAGGTATCCCAGGAATGAAACCCCGGTGCTATGGTTACCCTAACGCGGTCTCAAGGAGGAGTCACTCAACCCTGAAACTCCTGGCTTCCCTGGAAACAGCAAGGCTCCCGCACGCCAACGTGAACAGTGGCCAAGTTTCAGATAAACGAGATGTCTGCCCATCCCGACATCTCCTTTTTAATTTTACTTCTCCGCAGGTCTCTCCTTTTCCTATTTGCATCTTTTCACCGCGGTGACTGCGCAAGGTGGAAGCGCAGGCAGGTGGGGGCAGGCGTCTGCAGATGACCACACGACCTTGGCCTACTTCCCCGGCAGACAGGCGGTGGGGAGGAGGCCCCAGAGGACACTGGGCAGGGTGAGGAGAAAGGGGCCGACTGCTCCAACCAAAGGTCAGCTCTGCTGCTGGGCCACCAGGAAGGAGCTGGTGCCCACCGCCTGGCTGCAGCCCCCTCCGTCCCCGGAGGGCGGAGCCGCCCTCACACAGGGACGTGCCCGTCCCCACGGACAGCATTCCTGACTCAGGGGAAAGGGAGCCTCGAGGACTCAGCAGAATGGGTCACACACGGTATGAGATGTTGTCTATGGTAGCAACTTCGTCTTCGTCAAAACTGCCCGACCATACAGTCCTTCTTCCTTTTTTCTTTTTTCCCCTCTGCTGCCACGTGAACTACAGAGCAGAGGGCAGAGATGCACACAATGCACGGAGGCCGGGCCAACTGAACTCCTCAATGGCCACGCTAAGAAGGCCAGGGGATCGAGGTCATGTGTCTAGCCTTCCACGTGTTAAAACTGCCCTTGCCTTCTCATCTTTAACTTGCCCTGCGGCCGGCAGGAAAGGAGACAGAATGCCTCTGGTCACAAAGTGACTGGCTGTAGGGAGCTGACCAGAGCTCCCACCCAGTGACGGGCATTCAACTGCACTAAAGTGTGAATCAACCATGACTCACAAAACAGGGCATGTGTCCCCTGGCCCCCATACAGAAAGACTTAAAAATACCATTCTGCAGGCTAACAAAAAAAAACAACCACCCAAAATGAAAACCACCAGACCGGAGCACTAACACCTGCACCCTCTGGCAAAGCGTCGAAGGCCAGAGGCCTGTGTAAGATGCTGTCAGGGACTTAATTGTCCCCTGCAGGTCAGTGTACAGGACACGGCTCTCAGGACAGCTGAGCCATTTCCTCCTGGACACAATGAGGCCTCCCTCGGGCCCCGGGTGATCCCTGTTTTCAGACTGCTGGAACTCTGCGTGCAGCACGCATTAGCCGGGGACCGGGGAGCCGCCCGCCGCCCGCCCCCACGCCCCGGCCCCAGGCCGCTTGTTTTGCTGCTGCCATTAGGTGGGCTGGGTGACGGGAAGATGTCGGGAGAATTGTGCAGGTAAGGCTGGTTGCTGCCTGGTTACCAGGGCAACACCCAGGAGGGTAATAATAATTATTCTACTTAAAGCCAACATATCTACTTATGATCATATACCCATCTCAAGCTCACACCTTAACAACTAGAAAAATTACCTGAACAATCCACGTGACTTGAGGGAGATCTAAGCCCCGAGCTGCAACATCCTTCAAAACAGAAAGAATATGGCTTAGAACTGAGTTTCTGAACCATCCGGGGGTCATGGATTCGTTCATAATCTAAGGCAAACGGCAAGGGCTCACCCACACCGAAGCGCACACTCGCACGCACACATCTGCACACGACCTCAAGAAGCCACCCAAGTCCACACGTGGTTTAACGGCCTGACTCAGGGGTAGGCGCTACGAACCCGCTCGTGAGGCAGTCAACCCCATCCCCACGAGAGCGTTGCCTGCAGGGCAGCCCAGGAACTTGCACGGTCATTTCTCAGCTGTGTCCTGGAAGAATTCTGAGAACTTTAGCGTGTCTCACTACTTTCACATTTTATCTGAAAACCACTCGACGAATGCATTCGTGGGTTACTGTCCCCATCCACAAAGCTGACAATGGCGTGGCTTTGAGGCGGGCTTCTGCAAGATCACCCCCAGGCATCCCCTCATGGAGGGGGGCTGCAAACTACTCTGTGACCTCAGCTGACCGGGCCTCCGAGGGCGGCAAGGATCAAGCAACACCCCGCCTCTCAGACGGCTAAATTAGAGCGCGGGCCAAAAACTGAGCCAGGCAGGCGAAACTATAAAAGTAGCGGAGATTTATTTTTCCTTTTCAGCTGGTCGTCATCTGTAGAGCAAAGACTCTGTTCTCTGGTCATTCTGGTAGAGCCCAGAAGATGGGTCTCTTCTAGTCTTCAGCAATAAATGTACAGTTGGCATTCACCTTCACGCTCACAGTGATAACAAGACCATCCCCAGTCAACATTTACCGGGCACTCAGGACACACCGGACTCCGTGCGGCGCATTTCACCTGCACTGTCTCAACAGATCTGCAGAAGGACTATTAGATGCTACTACACTGTTCTGACATCAGAAAGACACTGTGCCTTTCATGTGCTGCGGTGGGAACGTGACACGGTATGTGCCTGACACTGCGGAAGGTGACAACATCCAGCAAAACTGTGCATGTACTTGCCCTCTGGCCCAGAGCAATCTGACTCCTTGAAACCCATCGCGAGGACACGCTGGCAGAAACGGGAAACAGCGCGCGTGAGGCTGCTCGTGCCAGCGGTCTGACAAACTCCCCAACGTCCGGCCAGAGACAGTGAGGACGACGGTGGGGACACCCACCCGTGCCCAGAGCGTCATGCAGCCAGGAAGGAGGAGGGCCCCAGGGACTGACATGGAGACTCCCTGGGAAAACTCCCGGGGGTGCAGAGTACACTTTGGTGTAAGAAATGAGGGAAGTAAATTGTATTTGCCCATATTTCTTGGAGAAATTGTAAAGGGAAAACCCAGAAGTTTATAAAAAGGGTGACCTGCAGGAGAAGGAGGAACGGCGGAGAGGAGGGAGGGGAACCAAACGTCCGTCCACAGCCGGCGCGGCCCTGGCGGAGGGCCTGCGGACACCTGAGGGTGGGGCAGGGGTGCAGGGCCGCCGGTCCCGGTCCCGGCCCGCGCAAAACCCAGCGCCTGAACCGCATCGAGAGTCTCGACCTAACGACCGGTTCTCAGGAAATGTGGGGGTGGGGGGAGGTGGGCGACAAGTCACACACCACCAGGAGGACACAATCAGGCACATGTGGAATGTGGGCAAAGGCTCTGGTTTCTTCCAACAAAAAATTCGAGGGAAAAAAGGAGATAGAAAGACGAAACCAGAGCTGAACAGCAGCAATGAGACGGACTCACAGAGAGATGGCGGGGGAGAGAGGCGGCGCCCCGACACCTGGAAGGCGGGTCACGAGACTCAGCTGCCACTGCCAGGCGGGGGGGCCTGGGCGAGTTCTACTGTACATTTTGCATTTTTCTGGTTGTTTTGACAACGAATATGTATTTCCCCCCTAGTTTTTATTTAGAAAAACATAAACCTACAGAAGTTAGAACCGAGTAGCACAACGAGCACCTGTCTACTTTCACCTGGATTCATCAACTGCTGAGAGTTGGGACACTTGCTTCCTCCTTTCCTCCCTTTACGCACCTTTCTGAACCACACAGAGTATGGTGGAAATATCGTGACACTCTACCCCTGAATTCTTTCGCATGTGTCTCCTAAGTCAAAGAACATTCCTCTACGTAACCACACCACCATTACCACCCCTAAGAACTTAAATGTTGAGTAGCATCATTTCCTAATAGATTCAAATTTCTCCAACTGTACTGCCTGACTTTCCCAGCCAGGACTGAACCGCTGGTCGCACATTCTGTTTCTGTCACAACCCTTTAGGCTTCCTTAATCTAGAATGACATCCCTGCCCTTTATGTACTTAGGGTTGGATTTCTTTTTTATAACTATCCATTTTGAATACTCCAGATGCCTTGAATATCCAGAATCTGGATTTGTCCTGGTAAGAGTCGCATAAAGTGTTTTGGCAGAAAACACAACAGCAGGGTGGTATGTACTTCCCGTGCGGGACACGGGGAGACGGAACCAGAGCAGCCTGTCCTGTGCTGGGGATGCCGTGTGCAGGCACCTCAGAGGGGGAGCCCACCAGCTCTCCCCACGGCAGGCGCCTTTTGCCTTTGTCACTCGGGTGTGGAACCTTGAGACTGTTTCCCCAAACTGTCTGCCCAGTGGCTTCAGCGCCTGTTGGCGCTGCTTCCCTGCAGGGCTGCAAAGGATGACTCCCTGTCCAGCACTGCTCCTTCCGCCTGAGAGCGGGCATTCTTCTGTAGGAACAGCTTCTCCTTTCCCCCGCTCCTAAGTCCCACTAAGGATTCCTGAGTGTAATGAGCATTTTTAAAAATAATCCTATGCAAAGTTTCTGTAAGGAGCACATTGAAACTGCCGCTCCGGGATGCCCCAGGCTCAGAGGCAGGACCGAGGAAGACCTGCGCCGCCAGGATCTTGCTCCACCAGAACCACGGCGGCGGGACAGGCCCTGTCGGCGGTCACCGATTACCCTGGGACTGCCTGCTCGCCTTCCACTGGTGGCCAGTTGCCTTCACGAAGTGCTAAGCACAAGTCTAATGTGCTGAAGTGCTGAGCGCCCAAGTGGTGTTTTCCGACAGGGCTGCTGTCCGAGCAGCGCCTCCGAGAACCCTACTTCGAGTTCTGCTGAAAGGGGCGTGGCGACTGCTTTCCCCGCTGACCCCCGCTGACATCAGAAAACTGACAGATTCTTTAATCTGCTAAGCTCTTGTTAAGAAGTGGTTTATTTTACTGACGTGCTCTGCAGTGGGAGATGCAGGCTCACAACGGGCTGCCCAAGCTTTCCAGGCAGCAGGCTTTGTAGAAAACTTAACGCTCACCAGTTTAGTCAATTCAAGAAACTCTAGAACCAAATTGGACACTCGTGAAACTTACCACATACAAACGCGCTGAAACGGTGAGTGAGGAACGACTCCCGCAGCCTCTCTCAAGAGACCGTTCGCAGGTCTACCTCCACCTGGGTGGCCTCACGCACGACACCGGCTCACACAGTCCTCCCTGTCTCCCACGTCTTGGGCCGGGCTGGGGGAACTTCACCAACGGCCAACCACTGCTCAGACTTAATCCAGGTATTTAAGTGCGTCTTTCTATTCTGAGCCTAGGCTACCAGCAAAAATGGGAGAGAAATCATCTTCCTGGTCCAGAAACAGAGAGGACTGGCCTTCAGTGTCACTTCAGCAGCCATATGATCTGGGAAGTCGACTTGGCTCTCCGAGCCTCAGTTTACCCCCCTAAGAATGGCTGGAAGAGCCACCTACTCCCCCCCTGCCCCCACCACCGAGGTTACTCTGAAGACCGAATGAGAGCGGATAGGACACTGAGAGGTATAAAGCTGAGCACTCTGGCCCCAGGGTGGAGACTGGCAGTGCTGTGAAGCCCCCTCGCTCTCCCCCCCGACTCTCCCGCTCAGCTCACCATGGGGTGGAGGGCGCTCCCCCCGTGGTCACCAGCAGAGCTCCGGGGCTGACCTGCTGAAGACTGCACAGGCCTCGGCTCCGCCTGCCCTCAGAACTCGGACCCAGCCCTGCCGAGACCCTTTACCCTGATCAGGGCAGAAGTCGGTTCCGCCAGGGCTCAGAACTCGGACCCAGCCTCACTCTACTCCTTGAACCTAATTAGAGCAGAAGAGCCGCTGAAGTCAGTTCTGAAAGACACGCAGTGCTGAGGCCTTGAAGGCCCGGCCTGGCGACCGGCCGCCTCCATGAGCCCGAGGAGTACAGATGGAAGGCAGCTTGCTCAGGTGCCAGCCTGTCAGTTGGATTAAAATGACTCATTTATTTACCCAAGAACCTCACAAAGTGCTTTTACTAACAGGGAGAGGGGCCCTGCCGGCTCTCTAAGGAAGGGACGCAGCAAATCCGCCTCTGCCGCCTTCCCAGCCTGCCAAAAGTCATTATTGCCGTGTGTGGAAAGCCATCAGCGGGGTACAGGCCCCTGTTGTCCGGGTGACAGATTGGGCTGCGTAAACAGAGGAGGAAGGAGAGAGCGCAGAAGCTGTCAGCGGCGAGCAATCTTGGCTGGAGCCGCCAAAAAACTGGCAACATGAGTTAGCGTGACCGAGTAAACAGCCAACAGTCCCCCAACGGTCTTGCCATTAACACGATGAAATAAAGTGGAAAAGAAAAACTTTACCTAAAAAACAGGCCCCAGAGGAAAGCAAGAAAGCCTTCATTTACTTTGGGTCGCGGGACTGACATTCTAGTGGCGCCTGCGGCCACGCGCCTTTGTCTCCGAGCCCCCTGGCGCAGCGCTAATTCCCCAGGAGGAGAGGAAGTGAGACCATAGACACGACAGTGTGCTTCAAGCAAAAGAAAAAAAAGGGGAAGGTGGAGGCCGGCAGCACGGGCGACCTAGGCATCTTCTAAAAAAGGACACAGGTGCTGGACAGGGGCTCTGTTCCAAGACAATCGGCCCGGCGGGAGAGGCACCCGCGCTCAGGGTGCCCCGGGAGGCCAGGAAGCGTCACTGCACCGGCAGCACGCCGGACGCCGGCCCCACGGCCAGAGGCAGCTCCGAAACGCCACTCTCCAGGTTCCCGGCGCGTTCTTCTTCATCCGCTCTGGAACGTGACTGCAGTGTTCACAACCACGCTCCCTCTGACTCAGGGCGAGCTCTTCTCCATCAACAGGAGGAAATAACTTGTTGGTAATTCAGTATCTTATCTCTGATTCCTCTGATTCCCCACTCGGAAAATGGGCTTGAACTTCACAATGGGCCCTTCCTGCTAATCATGACCCCCTCCTTAACATGGCTCCTGCTTAGGTCTAATTTTCTAGAGAACACAAACTACATTTCAAATGCATAGGCTCGTCCTGAGTGAACCAGTCTCCCCTGCGCGTCTCCCTGTGCCGAGACTGTGTCACCGTGGTTGCGTGCTCATTGAGAACCCACACAGACAAGGCCAGCGACCAAGGCCTGAAAGATTTTGGTACATGGAATTGAAAGGTCCTTGTTTGTACGTTTGTAATCAAGATGAGAGAGACACACATGCACATACACCCTTCCCTGTTCCTAATGACAGAAGTGAGAACGGGGAGGAAGATGGGGTGCGGGGAGGGACTGTCTAGCAGTAAAGCAAACAGCACAGTTGTAAGCTTTTGTGTGGTGACACCGTAATTCTCAAAGTCTCATATATTCAGTCTTCCAGCCTTTCTTAAAGGACCTGGAGATTATAAATCACAACGGCAAAGCTATGGGATCAGCAAGGAGAAATCTCCATGCAACGATGACTGACACGCCTCCTCCTTATCCGAAGCCAGTTCTGCGACTCTCCTGTCCTGACGTGGCCCACGTCCCTCACTAACACTGAGGAGGCCCCTGGAGAGCGTTCAGAGAACCCGGCAAGCAGCAGGCTGTGTGCCTTAGAAGGACACAGAGAGAGCGAGCCTGCCCGCACCTGGCAGGGTCCGCCACAGCACGCTCCCCACCACCTCAGACGCCAGGGCTCAGGCTGCGGCGGAGAAACCTGGCCGTCGTCGAAGGGGCAGGACCGCGAGTGAGGAACCCCCTGCACGGCGGCGTCTACGCTGCGCCCCGCCATGCCAACGAGGGGCGAGCCCCACCCGGCCCCCGTCCAGCAGCCCTCACGATGGAGGAAGGACGAGACGGCGCCAGCGAGGAGTGCCCCGCCCAAGTGACCCTGCAAACGCACATGCACCAGAGACTTTAGAGAAACCAGGTTGTGGGCAAGTGAGTTTGTGTTCCACGGGGCACGCAGGATGCACGGGACCAGCAGGCACGGGCGGTGGCTGGGCTGTGCTTTGCCGTGTCAAGGGCGCTTGGTCCACCTGCCACCACTTGTCTGCGGCCAGATACAACCAGGAAAGTCATGTTTTGACCCCACTGAGAATTAGGTTTCAGAAAAAAGGATCTTTTCTTCCATGAAGAGCTGAAAAGACAAAGCAAACCAAAAACACTGAACATCCAATACCTGGAGCTTTCTTGGGGACCTGGAGCTTACCGTGTCTGTAAAACAGGGTAGGATTTGCACACCAAGAAACATGACAATTTCCCACCAGGGACGCATCCAGCATCTTGAGGGCCAAAATAAGACATCTGTTCCGACCCTGACCCAAACCCCAGCACTGAGGCTCCTGCTGCCTTCTGTTTCCATATGAACAATATAGAACGTTCACTCCCCAGATGGCACCACGTCTAAGAAAGGTGATTCTCAGCTCTCAGGCTTCAGAAAAAGGCACACATGGCCGGGCCTCCACACTGAGTTCTTGGGCCCTAACTACCACGCATGCACGCAATCCACAGACACGGGGCGCCTGCCGCACGCCTGCTCTGTGCCAGACACAGGGACGGGACCGCCCATGAGATGCGGCCCGCCCCCATGAGCCCACGAACCGGTGGGCAGACGCCGAGCCCCGGCATGCGGGCGCTGCGGGCGCTGCAGGGTGCACTGCACTGGGGCGGGGCAGCTGGGGGCTCCAGGGACCCATTTCCTGAATGAATGGGCTTGGAGCTGAGACCTAAGCAGGGCTCAGCCTGAGTCAGCATGGAGCCTCCCAAGCAGAGGGACTACACGTATCAAGGCTCCAGGCCCAGAAAAAGAATGACACATTCAAGGCCGAGAAGAGGTGCCACTTGGCTGCAGGGGAGGGAAGGAGGGGGAAAGTGGGGACAGAGGAGTCAGGAAAAGGTCCGGTGGCACGATACGGATTTTTGACCAATTTCTTTGTCAGGTAGATTTACTTAGACTTGTCTTTGCAAGATAGCATTTGTGCGAACACCAGCACCTGCCCCGTGGACAGGCTTCATAAAGGGAAGGGCCGCTGGGCAGACTCAGGTCGCCGCAGGAGGCAAACGTTCCAGCAGCACCCGCCTCCGCTCCGAGGGAGCACGGTCGGCACAGCCGCCGTTTGCTGCGCACGGGAGCCGGCACACCGTGACGGACAGGCGGCCGGAAGGCAGTCTTACAAAGGACCGCACACCAGAAAGTCTGTGGCACTCACCCATGCACTCGAACTCCCCCCGTGGTCTTTAAAACGGAATACAGAGCAGAGATCCTTAAACAGGCACTGACTGTATGCGAGCGGCCTCGCCAGGGGTTCCCAGAGCCAAAGCTGTCTCGGCCCAGCCCCTGGTCACCGGGTCACTCGCTTCACAGTGCCATTCCATCACTGCACAGACAGGGGGCTCTCAATCCCCAGCTGGGACTGAGCTGGATCACCCAAGACAGCACTAACCGGGGCACCAGCCCAGAAGGCACTGTGATCTTGGGAGCGAGCAGCAGGGACAGGGGTGGGAACCCGCAGGGAAGGGACACCGAGGCGTGATGCTTCCACCTCGGAAGGGCCCAGGAGACACGCGCACAGAGAGCCGCTGCTGTGCTGGAGGGGGCAGGCCTCCCAGGCTGCCGGGACTGGGGCCGAGCGGACTGGCTTGCACACTGTAGGGCAAGTGACAGCTTTAGACAACAGCAGACGAATGTGCCCGCACGCACCTGCTTTCCTTACAGAAAGGGGAGCAGAGGTGAGGAGAGCGGCTTCGTTGTGGAAAGACTTTCTCAGCTCTAATTACTCCCGATAGCTGTAATTTACAAGTTTTTGGTGGCTAGAAATCACCAAGATTCACACGTTTTCAGACCAACAGCTGTCACTATTAGTGAGCAAATCGCTGAGTCTTCTGCACGGTGGCAGCCGGCTATCTGCGACAAAGTCAGGTGACAAAGCAGAAGTGCAAAGAGGTGGCCACACCAAGACGTATTCCCGCTCTCTGCGGGGCCGGCCTCAAGGCAAACTGTCGAGAGAAAAGAACTGCGACCACGGATTACAGAAAGGTTCACGCTTCCCTGGCGTACAGACAATACGTACCGTGCAGAAAAGGACGCCCGTGCCGGAATGTGAGAACTCCTGAAACACTGCCGTTCTTTCCTAAAAAACAAGGACAGGCCTTACAACTGAGGTCGACCCCAGCAGGTTTGGCGTCGATTCCCACAATTCCCCAGTTTCCTTCTGCTGAAACCATTTTAAGGCATAGAACAGGGAGGCTCTGCCGACAAAGAGGAAGCAGTGCGGGCCCACAGGGACCGACCGACTCCAGACCTGGAATGAAGACCCCACCTTTCCCATGGGGGAATTTTATTCAAGGTTAATTTTTTTTAAAGATTAAAAACGACGCGCCCCCGAGTTGGTGCTTGGGCCCTCACGGGGCGGCTGCATTTCTAGTCCACGGCACGGCCTTCACAGGGGACGTTTTTGGTGGCTGCACTGTAGAGTTGAGTCATAAAAGTTCCGGAAAGTGGGAGACACATCTCAAAGCCCGTCGGCGATGTCTCCTGATCTGGGGTGAGGACAAAGTCCAACTCTTGAGCTTTCAACACGACCGCCACGAGCTTCTCTCTAGTGCCTCTCACGTGCCTGGGGTCATGTCAGACATTCAGGGAGACCACAGGCCACGTGGGACGGTGGCCCGCATAAGCAGCCAGAGTGTGATGGGACTGTCCCATCCCGTCTTGGACAGGGCATAGCCTCAGGGTTCACCAACTGAAATACGGACACGCCCTCCACCTCCTGCCCCACTCAGGGGGGCTGTGGAGGCCACTTAATAAACGAAACGATGTAAGTAAAAGTGACAATTGCTGAAAAGCCAAACTGTCCCTGAAGGAGCACTAACAACAAGGGCCCCTCACACTCACTGAGGCTCGCTCTGGGCTGACCCGCCCTAAAGCTCTTTAGCTGCACTGACTCAATGACTCCTCTCCACCAGCACAGGAAGTTCTTCTGTTGGCTCCATTTCAGAGATGTGGCCGCGGAGACACAGAGTCACTCTCCCGAGGCCACAGACCAGGCCCCAGGGCGCACAGCTATAAGCCCCTAGACTAGCACTCGACTGTAACAAGAGATGGAGCTCATTTAGCTACAGCCTTGTCTGAGTGATCTACTCAAACTCGCAGATCCTTCCAAGTCCACGCCCAGCTCCTCCGTCTCCCCCGAGTGCCCTGCAGGAAGCCTCTGGTGAGAACAGACCCAGAGGATTAGGGAACTAGTTTTTAAAAAAAGAAAGAAAGAAAAGAAGAAACACCATAAATGGCATTGCCTTATGAAATCAACAAACTTGACTGAATCAGGAATACAGAAGGTAAAAACTAAGAGCTTATAAAAATTCACGAAGGCTGGAATATTCAGGAAATTCTAGATATTCTCGTGGCAAATACAAGGCTGTGTCCTTGAATGACCTTGAGCAAGCTCACTCTTCTGAACCTCCACTTCCTGAAGCAGTAAAACAAAAAAGCAAACCCAAAAAGGGGGCATGGACTTGAGGACCTTCACTGCCCCTTGCAGCTCTAAAATCCAGCCGACCTGCAGCCGGCTCCAGTTGCACCTCATCCCGGTTCCTGCTTTCCTTCTTCCCTCCTCCTCCACCCGGTGCTGCCAGGCGGCCTCGCTCCTCGCTTGCCTCCAGGACGAGGCGGCCCGCTCTGGGGACCCGGCCAACACCCCCCGCCCCGCGCACACCGGGGGAGCCCTCACCCCAACGGCCCGAACGCTGGCCTCCTCACAGGGAGGGGCATGAATCACGAGGCTAAGACCCTAACGCAAGGACAATGCCCTCTTCTCCCTGAACAGAAACAGCGCTCAGAGGCCAGGCAGAGCTGAGACACTCAGACCCTCTCGCGACCAAAAGCGCTGTGAGCGAGCGCTGCATCTTGTTGACAACGACAGCAGTCACGCTCAGCAGTACCATATGGGAGCCACAATTTAGCTCCATTAATGCTCTTAATTTGAAGACATCAAGCCCTAATTACACACTGGGTACTAAAAAGGCAAAACCCTTCCCTGGTGCCAGCTACTTAGTGGTGCTCTGTCGCCTTAGCAGCTGGCTGAGGCAGAGGCGGGCCGAGCGGGCCTAGGAGCCCTCGGGTGGGCCAGCCCGGCTCCAGGGGCGGGCGGGCAGACAGAACAATAGGCTCGCTCCCTGCAGCGCCTGCAGGGCCACCGCTTCCAGTTCCCGGGGGCCGCCCACCTCTGCGACGCCTGCCCTAGCCAGGCAGGTGCCAGGCTGACCCCGGAGGGCGCGTGTCAGCTAGATGGGCGAGTGTGCTCACCTCCTGGTCCATGCTGCCGTGGAGACGCAGGAATCTGAACCGCGTGCAGCCAGATGGCGGCTGCCCGGATGCCGGGGCCCCAAGGCCACTCAGCAGGGTCTGCAGGAAGAGGTGGTAGTGGAACTCCACCAGCTCGCAGCTCGAAAAGAAGACAATCACCTTCTGGTCTGTTTCAAACTGCATTGATTCAAAGGGGAAAACCACCACACACTCTTATTAGTTGAGAGCAGAATGAACCTTTTTCTACACTACCTAGTCATGCTGGCCCTGGTTTGCAAACAGGTAACAGACGGCCTTGAATTATTTTCACAAATATCACCGACACCCCACGCTACAAAGACTGCAGGCAAGGGCAACGACAGCTATGACCTTGATCGGGCTCCCACAATGAACGAACAGCGCGGGCTTCAGAGGGAGCCGCCCATCCGCGCTGCTCCTCACCCCCTACGGCCTTGCACGCACCTGGCCCTGCTCGGACCCACACACAGTGCCCCTGGAAACTCCATTCTCAAGCCCTTCCACCTCCTGTCCCCCCAGGTACCAGAGAAAGTAACACGAAACTAGCAAATCACTATACAAATAGCGGGCCTCCTTCAGAAACACAAGTACAGGCCCCTAGCTCCGTCTCCCTTCCAGCACGTTCCTAGCACCTGCGACATTCCCGACATCCGCCCCCCAGGAAAAATACATAAGGCGGATTTCAAGTTGAGCATCATGGCTGTTGTTGGCCCCGACCTCTCCCACGACCCTGGAACCACTCACGGATGCGCACTGAGGTCTGCGTCGCACACAGGGTGTGCACACCCATCTCGACTCACTGGACTCCATGCCCGATGCAAACAACACGGGTCTCCCTCCCCTCGGGGCAGCCGGCTCGGACCCCGGGCCTACCTTGCACTTCTGCAGGAGGAAGGCCGCCAGGGAGACCAGCCTCAGCTTGCTGGGGACCAGCGTCACGTACTGGTCAAGGCCCTCCGGAACGGCAAAGCCGTCGAGCTCGTCGTTGGGCTGTGGGGCGGACGCGTCCAGAAACACGCTGTCCTCCAGCTCACACTGACCGTGGCTCTCATCCAGGACAGAAATGCTGACTGGGTTGTGCAAGCTGATGTCAGCGAGCCGCGTCACACCTTGGAAGCAGGCAAACAGGTTGACAGGCACACGCCACGGCACGGGGGCCGCAGCACACCCAGGCACGCCCACGTCCCCGGCAAGCCCCGCGGAGATCTCCAAGTGCCGGCGCGGACCTCCCCGACTGATGGTCTGGTGGGGCGCGCCCACTGGTTTCTCCCCACAGCCTGACAGCCGGCTGGCACCTGTGGGAGGCCCCCCGAGGGACGTGAACAGATGTCTGCGCATCACCCTCAGGAAGGGTCTGGGATCAAGGGAGTCAGGATACAAAGGCTCCGCGAGCCTCTCACAGGGCCACACAGGCCTCCCGGACCTCTAGTGTGTGTGGGTGCCCCGTGAACTCCAGGAGGAAGCAACGTGTGGCACGTCCCAAGCTCTGCAAGCACAGAACCCCTTTCCATGGAATATGTCTTAAAATTAGTGTTATTCAGAGACGCTCGGAGCTGCCTGTCTATCGCAGGAGCGGCGCCCAGCCTGCGCGCACTGCGACACGAACGGCGCTGTGACCCGGACGCTGGGGCGCGGAGCTGGTGCTGTCCCTCAGACGGCACCTGCTGTGTGGGTCACGCTGGCGGACAGGGACTCCACTTCTCCGAGCCTGAAGCTCCCATCCACGCCCCATCGCGTGACGATGAAAAACAGCACGAGCTTGACGAGCGTGTGCATGTTCAGGTTCAGCATCTCTCGGGGAGAAGGGCAGGGAGCTCCCACTGAAAACGGCACTCGGGCAAGAGGTCACCGTCATCGGGACAAAAGCCCTGCTCTGCGTGGGTCACAGCAGGTCAAGACCCTCACAAGAGCGCGGTGGGCAGCAGGCAGCCTTCTCTTCCCCCCACACCTGCATGAGCCCCAGCAGCGCCACCCTTCCCGGTGGCTCTGGATCTGGGACAGCCCGCGCCCTCGCCTGGGGCCGCAACAGAGAGCAGGGCACCGAGGAGGAAGGCTGCTGCAGGACTGGGGGCCGCCTGCCCCTCGCCCAGGCAGAGCCACCACGCACACGGCGCCCTCCGCTGGGCCGCGTCCCCTGCCCCCCGCACTCAGAGCAAGGAGGACCTCTCCGCTCACCTTCCGTGAGAGTCGCCGACAGCAAGACGTTCTGTCGTTTCTGGCTCTCGGCATTAACTGCGTTGAGTATGACTGTGATATCTTTCTCAAAACCCAGATCCAAGATTCTGCAGTTTCAAGAGAAGAAATTTCAACCTACCTGAAGATCGAAGGTGATGCCAAGGGGCTTCGGGGTTGCAATGAGACAGAGGCAGCCCTTTCCTTCGGACTTTCAAGGTTCTAGACCCGCCTCACCTGTCCGCTTCATCCAGAACCAGCCACTGGATCCGACTGAAATGAATGTTCTTTGTGGATTTTATATGATCCACCAGGCGTCCAGGAGTGGAAATAAGGATATTTATCCCTTTGCGGAGTCTGTTTAAAATTACATACCATAAAAGGAAGTCAGTCAAACGGGCCTGCATCAATAGGAAACATGGGAAAAGGCAAAGGGGACAGACTGCGTGTCTAAAGCCCATGTGCCACGGCTTGAAATCAGGACAGACATAATAACAACGGATACAAAGATACAAAAGTTTTAATTTTTCTCTGAAGTTTCTATCTCCTATAGAACTACTAAAATCTGCAATTATATTAAAATCGTAAAACCCATTTGAACGGACTCTTTCCTATGTAATCTTATGCCTTTGACTGGGTCCACAGATCCTTTCTAGTACATTCCAGAAACACAGTCACCTAGCCTATTCCTGAAGACTTCTAGGTCCGGGAATCGCTTACCTGAATCAGTCATCCCAGAGTGTCTTCTCTTATACTGAATCCTTGCTATGACTTCCATACCACAGGCCTAGCTTTGCCCTGTAGACTAGGTGGAACAAATCTAATTCATGACCCCCAAACACCCTTCACCCCATCATTCCATAGTAGTTAAGAGCCTCCAGTTTTTAGCTGAGTGTGTTTTCTAGCTTCCCGTGCAGCTGAGTGTGATCAGCAGCCTGTGTTCTAGAACAGGGTCAAAGGGTAAAAAGCACATGCGAACCCCACAGCACCTTTGCGGGAGGACACACGACTGTCCCTGCTGTGGGAAACCAGATGTGACAGCTGGGTCTCTACTCTGAGGCAGCCGTGAAGATGGAGGCCTCACCGAGCGGCACGAAGACATAGAGGGGCCTGGGTCCGGCACTGAGCGCACGCCAGCCCTGCACGGGCTACGACCGGGGGGCTTTGTCAATTCAAAGGAAAAGAAACCTTCCCCATTGCTTTGGGTGCTGTTTGCGGCCCTTGTTATTCACAACTGAGTAGTTCAGGTTCCAACTATAAGATTTACTCCTCATTAACAAACTACACACATAGTTGCAGGTTACAACTAAGCATTACTCTATAACGCAATAAAAAAATGTTTTTAAAAGGAGCGCACTTTGGAATTTCCTTGTCGCCAGCCATTTTCTCCTGACACTCACTGCCAGTTCTATCACAGAATTGGGAACCCACATACTGTGGTGTAAAAAGCAGGGTGCAAAACATTACGTAAGCTTGTGCTCTTGTTTTTATGAAAAAAAACAACCAACTCCCAAATTGCCAACATTCCCAAAAGGGAGCCACCAAGGGGGAAGCACACCAAACAAGGGGACCGCTGGGCCCGGGCAGTAGGTAAGGTGGTCAGGACCGCATCGGCAGCGGCCCCGGAGGCTCACCGACACCCGAAGGGTAGCGCCGGCCAGAGGGGTGGCTCCAGCGCCTCGCTCTGCCCCACACAGGGCACGCAGAAGCCCAGTCCTAAAACACGGCCCCCTCCAGGTTTCGAGGGACCAGGTCGTAACAAACAGGAAGGCAGGACAGACAGGTTCAGAACGGGATTAACAGACGGCCCCTACCTGGCCTTTTCAGATTTTTTCTTCTCTCCGCCCATGAGCACTCCGGGCACAATCCAGGTGAACGGCTACAGAGACACATCAGACCAGAATGAATGTGATGCCCCCGTGCCGCACACACAGAGGGGTCGAAATCCCTGTCCTCAAGGAACCCTGGGGGGTGGGGGCGGGGCTCCCACTGCATGAGGTGTCATGTGCCGATGGGATTCTTAGGCACGGCCACCATCAGCAGGAACCTGGATTAGGCCATGCAGCCACCATCCAACGCTGAGGCAGAAACAGAAGCTTCTAGAATGACTCAAGCAGCCCCTCTGCCCGCTTCACGGAGCCTGAGTCAGACCCACGGTCCACAAGTCTGTGCCTTTCTGTGGTTCTTCTCAGTTAAAATGAACAGGCACAGCCCTACCCCTCCCACCCCCCGCCCCGATGACAGGGCGGGAGATCATGTCTGGACCTCACCTGGGGTGGGGGATCGGTACGGGACTTACTAATGACTCTGACAAGTAGGTTATAAAACTTTAAGCACCAGGAAACACTAGCCATCTTGCTAAGCTAAAAACAGGTAGTGAGTAAGGTTTAGATCAGTAAAAACCTACAAACTATACGTGGAAAGAACAGAGACATCTAGGGAGAAAAGGGAAATTAAGATAATTCCCAGGCCTATGAAAATAAAGACTATGAACTCACAGCATGCCTTACCTTGAGGAGCTTCTGGAAAGTGTCAAAGCTTTGTAGAGCCAGCTGCAAATATTAGAAAGTTAGAATGAGCAAGGTCTCTTCTTCCCTTTTTGTTAAATTTCAACCACATAAAGTGATTGGACCTCATGTTAAGACTAAAGAAAAAAAAAATCCTATCACAGAATGGACTTGACAGACGCCCCGCTGTGAGACCAGGTGTGAGGGCTGGCCGCTCGGGACGGGGCCAGACGGTCGCACCCGCGCGGCCCGGCCCTGCAGCCGAGCGCGGTGCTCCCCCTGCTGGCCACCCAGCAGCACCTGGGGGGGGGAGCAGCACCTGGGGGGGGGCGTGGGGGCGCCAGCCTGAACTCAGCTCTTCGGAGGGAGAGAGGTGCGATCTGTGCGCAAGGGAAACTGGGGCAAAGCGGGACAGCGCTGCATCAGGTCCGCCTTCAGGGACAACAAAGGTGACGGGCCCATGCCCAGGGACAGGTCAGGGGGCGCAGCAGCCACCCACGGAGAGGTGGCTGCTCCTTCACGTATGCAAGGAAAACCAACAAGCCCAGCAGACGGGGGGGAAATGCAGGTTAAACGATTAACCACCATCAGAGGTCCTCTCCATGGCGCCCGTGCCCAAGGACACGCACAGCGTCCGCGTGCTTAGCGCGCGTGAGGCGTCCCACAAGGGGCCGGCGGGTGCCTAGAAAACCCGGACAGCTCTGGGTCTGCCCCTCCCCACGACTGAGCTGCGGCCGGCGGGGAGGCGGCTGGCTTCTGAGGGAGGGAAACAGAGACCCTGGTCTGCAACTGCCTCCGCAGGCAAACAGGGTGCGCCCGATAAGGAGATTCCCACCAAGGAAAATACCAAGGAACTTAACTTTTTAGAGTATTTTCTGGTACAGTGGCTTCTTTTTAAAAGAAGTTCATTTTCAGAGCTGATTGCTTTTATTTCTTAATTAAGTTGGGGAGAAAAGTACAAAAAAATGTTTGTCAAATGATTAAATTTCTTTTAAAAGGACAGAAACTTACAGTGTGGTTAATTTTTGGATTAACAGGAACATTTAACCTACGATTCTGAAAGAGCACTTGAAGTTTTCTTGTCAGGAACCAGAAGGATGGATCCCAGGCAAAGGAGAAGGCACAGTGGCTTGTGCAGCGGAGAGAAAAGTGGTAAAGCCGCTACCAAGTTCAGCAGGATGTCCCTGAAAACACGTGCCCGAGACCCAAGCACGCGAGACTGCTTACCTCTCTTGTTGGCACAAGCACCAGAGCGTAGGGGCCGTCATTGCGCTGTGGGCGGAGAGGGGAAGAGGCACCGTGAATGCAGGTCACAGGAGTCCAGGCGACCGGACTTAGGGAGGCCCCGTGTGAAAGGCCAGAGGCGGTCTTGTCAAAACAAAGGGACAAGCAGCCCACTGCCCGCCCTGCCGCGGGACACTGCTCGGCGGCTCTGGCTGTGCAACCAGACCAGAGAAATGAATGTGTGTGAATTGGGAGAACAAGAGGTCGGACTGCCATCATTAACAGGCATTTTACCCTAAAAAAATTCTTTAAAAAAATCACTTGAAGACTTATTAGAAAAAACAGAATTAACTAGCTGAATGCAAAATTAATATATAAAAATCAATTGTTTTCCATAACACAGAGAGTGAGGAAATACAAAAGAAGAAAAAAAACCACACTTATATTACCAACGACAAAGGTTAGAATAGCCCTGGCTGGTGTAGATCAGTGGACCGAGCACCGGCCAGCAAACTCAAGGGTCGCAGGTTCAATTCCCAGTCAGGGCACATGCCTGGGTTGTGGGCCAGGTCCCTGGTTGGGGATGTGCGAGAGGCAACCAATTTATGTGTCTCTCCCTTTCTTCCCTTCTCTCTAAAAATAAATAAATAAAATCTTTTTAAAAAATAGGCAAGACTAAACTTAAGAAAAAAATGCACAAAACCTAAAAATACCAAATGCACAAAATCTACATAATGAGAATTTTAAAATAACTCCTGAGGAGCATAAAATAAAGCTTGATTAAGTGGAGAGATGTATCCTGTTCTTGGATGATTATATAAGCTAATTCTCCCTAATCAATCCAAATGTTATGCAATTTTAACAAAATGAGCATATGCATGTATATATGCATATATAAAATATACAATTAGACAAAATATAGCTGACTTCAAAGTTCATATGGAAAAATGAATGTGCAATAACCAAGACACTTCTGAAAAACATCAGATGTTACAACAATTTAACTCAACAATAGTTTTTAAAAATTGATACTGGCACCTAGAAATTACAATAGCAAAGAGTCTAGAATAGAGGCAAATAAACAGAGAAATTTAGGAAATAAGGATCATTATATATCAGGGAAAAATGGATTACTGAAAGGTCATTTTAAGAAAAAATTAAGTTGGAATTAAGTTGGTCTTTTTGTAGATGACGTAAAACTCAGAAACTATAAAACACCAATACATTTTGTTGCATAAAATTTTTAAATTTCAGAATGAAACAAAGTAAAGTGTCACATGACAATGTATGGAAAAAATATGCCACACATCAAAGAAAGGGCCAATCGTCCTACCTTATAAGGCAGGCCTATCATTCAACTGAAAATGATCAGGACGACCAACAACTCAAACAGAAAAGTGCAGAAGAAAAGCAGCAGCTAATTTATGGAAATAAAAATTCAAACTACAGCTTTTACACACACGAAAAGATAGGCGACTTCACTCCTGAGAGAAAGTCAAATTGGAACGGTAACACAGCATTTTCCCTACGGAATGGGCAAAGCTAAAGGGCGGAGCGCTGGCCAGAGGAGGGGCAAACACAGGCGCAGATCTGACTCCTGCGCACGCTGCTGAGCGCGCGGATCGGCCAAACTCCTTAAAACGTCAGTTGCAACTTCATCTATCAAAAAAAAAAAGCAGATTCCACTTACAGGGCTTTCTGTAAAAGATGCACTCGTATATGTGTGCATAAAGAAGTTGTGTCTTCCAGAATGTAGTGTTTATAAGAGCCCTGTTTAATAGCAAAATATTGAGCAAAATGTAAATTCCACCCATGAGGGAATGGTTCAATAATTTACTGTACCTACATACATGAATACTAGGCAGCCCTTCATTTTTTAAAATAAGATTTTTACTTTTAGAGGAAGGGGAAAGGAGGGAGGACAGGGAGGGAAATGCCGACTGGCTACTTGTGTGTGCCTGACCGGGGTCGAACCCGAAACCCAGGCGAGCGCCCTTGACCAGGGATCAAACTAGCAGCCTTCTGCCTGCGGGATGGCCGACGCCCACCTACTCCGCCACAGCCGGTCAGGGTCCGGCAGCTTCTTCCCCACAGGGGAGGGCGACAAGGGGCTTATGGTAAGCAACGGCCCTCAAAGCATGTTAGGTGAACAAAAGCGCGGCACGTGACATCATGCCTAACAAGCGATCATTTGTGTAGCAAACAAAGAAATAAAAACTTCAATTAAAGGGGCAACAGAACCTTTACATATTCATATTTGCTTTCTATGAACAGAATACCCCTGGGAGGACAGACAAGAGACTGGTGACAAGGACCACTTCATCTTGACAGAAATGTCCCATTCAGGGCAGGTGGGGGGCATAGAATGACTTGCTTTTCACTCTATATTTTTTGGTACTGTTTAAATTTTTACCACATATGTTGGGTCTAAAAATACTAGTAGTAATAATAGCAATAGTATAAGAATAAAGTATGCGGCAAAGGCCCTGAGATCAGCGGACCGCAGCACTGCCGGTGTGGAAGCGAGGGGTCGAGGCGGCGGCAAACGCCACCGCAGCACGGCGTTTGTGTTTTGCTTTTGTGTTTTGCAACGGAGCCGCGCGCCCACAGGAGAAGGATCGGGAATTCACAGCAGAGCCCCCGGCGCTCACCGCCGATGGGTGAGGCCGTGTTGGAGCCCGGGCCAGGCACAGTAAACATGTCAGCACAGCGGAGCCGCGTGCCACAGAGTGACGTGCAGAGATCCTGACATTTCAAAAGGTGTTACTACACAGACTAGAAGAAAAACAATCAGTCCCTTGCAGGGCAGAAGGGAGTGAAGAGGACGAAGGTGATGCTAAAAAAATGAGAGCAGGAGTCACTGGGAGAGTGAACACACAGCAGAGCGGCCCATTCCCCTCCCATCCCGAAGCAATTTAAGACTCTGTTGGGGGCCTTGAATTTGCTGCTCCCTCCCAAATAAACATCTGACATGCTTTTTTACAGGTCAAATGATCTTACAATGAACCCAATGGGCCTATGTTGAGTATTACTTGAAATAAGTGATTTAAATTTGGGCTTGGAAAACTCTTTCTACAGAATATTTTACTCTTGAATAGAATGAGCTGTTACTGATGTTAAAAAATATTTGAGTAAGTAAAAAAGGGACTACCTAGCCTGTTCCCAGTCCTGAGTACAAGTGAAGGTCATCACCGTCCTTCACACTGGCCACGCGAACGTGCCGATGATGAGCATAGCTGGAGGCGTGTGGGCTCCCGAGGAGCTGGGCACCCTGCGCGCCCCCCGCCGGCCCCTCTTCACTGCAGGAGGCAGGCGGGGGCGGGGACAGGGTTTGCCGCAAGTCGCACGCAGGCTCCCCGAGTGCCATCTAATCCCTCCTGTCCACGAGTCATGATCTACAAGGCGGGCCAGCGGGGCGAGGACCGCAGGACCCACTGCAGCTCAGACGTCCCCAGCGCTCCAACGCAGTGACCTAGAACCCGCTGGCAACTCTTGCTGGAGCCTTGGAGCAGCTGGGGCTCCCCCCGCACTGCTGGGAGAACCTGCTTCTGCTGCACGCGCTAAGCACACGGCTGAGGGAGCCCCGTGGGGAGAAAAAGTCGGTCACCTGCAGGAAGCAAGATTCTCTCTGGTCCCCTTCAGAGAAACCCAGCACTAACGGTGTGATGGGTACTCTTCCGGTAAAGATACACACACCATCATCACTAATGAAGCTGGACGTGCTGGTGTCACCTGCCTTTTTTCCAGTTCACGGGGCAAGAACACAGGTTCACAAATAATGACTGAAAAAAATACCGCTTTTAATGGCTCCAGAAGGTTCCATCATTTGAATGATTGCATAGGATTTGTATTATTGATTTAAAATTACTTACACAAAATTTAAACTTAATCATTCTGCAACAATTTCAGACTTACAAAAAAACTGTACAGCAAGTACAAAGAACCCCCTTAAACCCTCCGCCAGCTCATATACGGTGCTGACCCTCAAAACCGCAGGGCAATGACCAGAACCAGGAGACCGGCACTGACTGCACACTATGAATTAACCCGCAGGCCTTGCTCGGACCCCACAAACCGACTCCGAAGGCCTCTCCCCGGACTAGGCTCCAGCGCAGGACCGCCCACCGCGCCGAGTCGTCCCGTCTCCCGTCTCTTAATACGGGAAGTTCTTGGGTGTCTCCTTGTCTTCCGTGACCTTAGTACTTTTCAAGAGTACTGTTCAGTTGCTCTGTAGACTGCCCCTCCATTTGGTGTGTCTGATGTTTGCTTGTGATTAAATTCGGGTCAAGCACTTCGGGCAAGAAACCGCCCACGTGGAGCTGCGCCCACTGTGAGACGTGCAGGAGACGTGGGAGGGCCACGCTCGGGGGCGCCACCCCCGACCGTCTGCTTAGGAGGACAGCCCGCACCCCCGCGGGGGCGCCGCTGCTTCCCCGTGGGGTGGGGAAGTGCCTGGGGGAGGCGCTCTGGAACCCTGCCGGCACCCCACGGCACCCCACTTGGCCCCCCAGCTCGGCCTGCGCTGGCTCCGCCTGCAACGCTCCCCCTGCAGCGCCTGCCAAAGGCCGATGTTCTTCCATCGTTTGTTCCACGTTCATCTGGAATTCTCCTGGGGGAAAGGGCTCTCCCTTCCCCCACGTATTTATTCAATAATTTCTACGTATCAGTTTGGACTCGTGGGTATTTGTTTTAGTTTATGGGCTCTAATCCAACACTCTTTGTTATTTATTTTGGCACTCAAGTGTCAGGCAGGCTCGATACACACCTAATTCTGTTTGTCCGAACCGAGACCAAGGGAATCAATGAACTCCTCTTATCTGTCTGCGAGCCCGCCTCGCTGCGTCTGACCTTGCCACGGCCTCTGGACCGGCCAGGGCTGTCCTGGGGACTCTGGGCCAGGCTGTGAGATGACACCAATGCTATGGAACGTGGCAGTCAACTGGCCTCCTAGGGAGCAACTGTGTTTCACAACTAAAGAGAAGTTCTAGAAACTACTCAATACCAGGCAGCCTACTGCCAAACTCACTACCTGGGCGAGTATTTTCACATCTACTCTTCGTGGTAAACAATTTTCCTTAGAGGGCAGTTACCGCACCTCCCCAGCCCCCACTTCCCGAAAGCTGGGGTGACGGTAGCACCGACAGCTCGCTGGTGCCAAGCAGTTACAGATTCGAGGAGAGCACACAGGCAAGGCAGCCGGCACCAAGCCTGACCCCCAGGGGCATCTGACAAAGGCCCCCATTAGAGCCACTGCGGCAGCGGCGAAACCCGCTCCTGCGGCTGTGCGCTGGGCACAGGCTGCAGAGGCAACACGGTGTGTGACAAATGAATTAGAAAGGGTGCAGGACTGCTGCATGGGACAGACTCCTTCGGTCCCAGGGTTGCCGCTGGGCTTCGGCTGGAGGATCTCTCGCGCGCTAGGAACCCCAGCAGAAAAACACGTTTGGCACTCACCTGTATTTTGGTTTTCATTGCTTGAAGGGACTGGACCACCGGGATGCAATAGGCAAGAGTTTTACCTTTTAAAGAAGCACAGAGGTAAGTTTAAAAGCGCAGCCCCTGCCGGTGACGGTGAAGGGAAGCAGCACTGCTCCCTGTGGGGCACTCAATCTGGGGAAGGGAGGAGCAGGCCCACGCAGGCGGACACGGGGCTCGCCTGCCCGCCCCGCCCCCCGCCCTCAGCTCGGCCCGCCCCCACCAGGCCAGCAGCGGCAGCCGCCCCTCCAACTGGGACACGTTTCCTGCGCTGCCTCCTGCACAGCCTGAGGACCGTGCCCGGAGCCACGGCTCCTCCTCTGAGGGGTCCTGACGGGGCCAGGCCAACGTCTGCGGTGGTGCTGCTGTGGGGCGGGGCCTGTGGTCCCCAGCTCCGCCCCCGGAGGGACCCCGGAACGGCAGCAATGCTGGGCTCGCCCCGCCGGAGCGGCGGCTGAGCGGGGGGCACGAGTGGTGCGGAGACCAGCTGCGAGGCGCGAGGGGCGCCTGAGGGCCGGGAGGGCTCGTGCAGGGAACACGCAAAAGCAGGGTCCCATGCTGGAGGCAACGATGGCCGTCCACGCAGCGTGTGCTCATGTCAGAACTGGGTCTAAGGCCCAGGGAAAATGCCCCCCCCGCCGCCCCCGCGGAGCTCTGGCCACGGATGACGGGACTTGGCAAGGCCCTGAGACAGGTTCCGGGGAAGGAGACCTGAACTTGACTACTTCCAGATGGTTCCTGCCCGTGGCTCCTCCCACAGTCCCCTTCCTGTCGCCAAGTGAACTAAGTCAGGCCGCTCATCAAAAGCAAGTGTGGCCTGCTTCCCGCAAACAGCCGCCTCACTACATAGCCTGCTGCACGGCCATGGCCTGGGCCCTGCAGGGGGACGCGCGGAAACCAAGCGGCGACTGACCTGAGCCCGTCTGGGATCTCACGAGAGCGTCTCTGCCTTCCAGCAACGCGGGGATGCTCTGCTTCTGAACGCTTGGGCCGCGCGAGAGAGAGAACACAGGTTACCCGTGACACACGCCTGCTAGCGCACGGGGCAGAGACACAGGACACACGGCGGGCAGTGGCCCCCTGCTTTGGGCTGTCTATCAACTGCCCCCTTAGAAGTTCCCTGAACGTGCAAGTGAAGGGGCTGAGAAATTTCTGATGATCAGAAGAACAAAACCTCAGTTAAAGTCTTGGGACGTAGCTGAAAACGTCCCAAGCCAGAGACTGGCCGCTCCATCACACGAGTTAAAAACAAAGATGGGACAGGCATGATGACAACTGGGAGCGAGCGTGAAGGCACGCGACACGCCCTCCGCCTCCGGTAAGAGGGAACAGGAAGCGCGGCACAAACATTCCGGGAAGATTCCCAAACAGAAGGGTGAGAGGAAGTGGGGAGGCGCGGGAGCCGAGAACTGCTGCTCCCTCTCCAGAAACCCCAGAGTGCGCTGTACGGACACCCTGCGCTCTGTGTCCACGTGTGTGTGCGAAAACTAACAATGAAGGCGGGATGGAAATCACTTTTTTTTGGTTGACAAAAATGAACAAAAAAATGGTGAAGGGGCTTACTTTATTCTTCAATATTCTCATTTTTACTCCCAGGAACTTACTCATCTCTCGCTACCAATTCCCCCCGCTGAGAAACTGCACGGCAAGGCCTGCCTGTGGCAGACCCCCTCCGGGGTGCACGGCAGCAGCGCACCCCAGGCAGGCCGCCCTCCAGACCGCGGCCCGGTGCAGTGAGCCGCTGGGACCCAGGCTCCCCACTTGACGGGCGGGGAAGCCAAGCTGCCGAGGACGCACCAAGCCCTCGACACTCGGTAACCTGGCCTTGTTCTCTAACACTGACACGCGACCTGGCTCAGTACCCCCCGACACCCCAGACCACATACAACTTTACCCACAGAAATCCTAAAAAAAGTCAGGACCGGCCTGGAACTCTTACCTGGTCATATGAAACATGTTCAAGACTGTATTTATTGTAGAAATCTAAAAGAGAAGACAAGGAAAAAAAATACCGTTCTTAATCAATTTTTTGGTATAAATAACACAAATAAGGATGCGGAACCCCCCCCGCCCCCACAAAACCCCACGGGAATGAGACTGACCGCCCTGACCAAGGGCTCTCAGCCGGGGCGGGTCTGCAGAGGCTTCAGGTGTGGAGGAGACGCTGCTGGCATCAAGAGAGTGGGGCTCGGGGAGCTGTTCAGCGTCCTACAGCGAGTTCCCACCCCAAATGCCACAGCCCAAGGCGGGAAGCCCTGCCCAGAGGGGTCACATGACACGCCCAGAGGAGGAGGGCGACCGAGAGCCGTGAGCTCAGGAAATCCCTCCAGGGGCACGTACTTTCCTCTCCTTCCTCATAAATGAGCCTGGAAACCCTCTGATGGTTGACGAAAAGTGTTCATTTGTTTGTAGGAAACGCACGTTAAAATAGTCTTTTTCCTTCAATTCTCTGTAACTACAGATGTCCCTTCACAGCGAGAAGCAGCTCAGCTGCCTCTCACAGACACTGCGACACCTGCGACCCAGGAGGGCCTCCACGCTGCAGCTGCGGGCAGTGGGGAGGCTCACTCAGGCCTGGCGAGTGGGCCCAGCCCTAAACGGAACTGGGTGAGGAAGGGCTTGCGTTCTCTTTACCACGGGGTGAATGCGGGGTGAGGATATGGGGAGGGGCCACGAGGGCCCCGGCAATCGCCCCACCGAACGGAGCTCCGTCAGTAAAGTGGGGCAGAGGCGGCCACGCCCGGGCGTCACCACCCCCTCCCCCATCGCCGGAACCGCCATTCCAGCGCCCTGAACGAACATACATGCCGCAGCTCCCGGTGGCATGGGCCGCGGACAGCTACTCACTAAGTGTGGGTGGAGGTCCAGCTCGTGAAAGGCTTCCGAAGAAAACACCTTCTCCTGCACCTGCTTGACTACAGGTCTGCAAATAACGAACAAAACTCGCCATGAGTTCCAATAAACCAAGAAAAAAAGGGCCCCAGCTCCTGTTGTGCATTCCTGGGGCGCCCTGCCCCTGCGCCTACCTGCGGAGCTCGGGAATCTCGGGGTTGTTTTTAAACAATGATGAAGTCTTAATGCCCGGCTTCTGCTCTTGGTTCCTACCACTCGCACTGGCCGAAGACTTCTTCGCAGAAAGCACCTTCTTTGCCCTCCCCTTCAAAGTCCTCGCCGTTTCCTTAGCAGCGCCCTTCTTGGCTGGGAGGGAAGATGTCTCATTCCTCCGCTTCGCCGGGGGAGCCGCCCTGGTCGCTTGGCGTTTTCTTTTGGTGGCCTGTGCTTGCTGCGTTGTTCCCCAAAGGAAAGAGCGGCGAGAGACGCGTTAGTCCAGCAGACGGCCCTCGAGCGGCGCCCTTCCGCCCGCCGAGGCCATTCCACCCCAGGTCAGGCAACAGGCTACAGCATCTGCAATCAGACTCTGACTCGGCTTGTCTTCCTCCAAAAGCGAAAAAAGAAAAACCAAAACACCCACCAAAGCTCAGCTCACTCATCTGCTGGACTTCACCACCCATCTTGGCCATAACTCAGCCAAGATGAGGGTGAGGATCCCCAGGGGAGATGCATTTTGGGGGCTGAATATTAACAGATGAGTCTTTTTTAACAGAAGAGAGGAGCCAACCTATGAAGTGTGCGCTAAGCCAGCCCACACTGCTGTGAACATTCACATGACAATGGGGGGGGGGGACAGAGGAGCCTTTCCCTCCATGAACAAAGCCTGTGGGACATGGGCCTCCTGTGGGCCTCCTGGTCCCAGCTCGTGCCCAGGAAGCAGAACCCCTCATCTCTGCCCCACCCCAGAGTGCCTGGCTCGCTGCCATTCTCCCTGAAGCAGCCCCCACCCCGCCCCCGAGTCAGATGGCGTGGAGACAACTCCTACTCGCTGTGGTTTCCCTTCCAGATGAGAATCCTGCCCCATCCATCACTTCTACCACCGTTACTGCCAACTCTCCTCGCCTTTCAATTCCCCACCTGATAGCCGACTGCAGGCTACAACACCAGGTATTTTCTCGCCTGTTGTTTCTTATTTCCATAACATGAATGTGGTTAAGTACATGCTGTCAAAACTCCCCCTAGGAGAAAAACATCCAATTCCTCTATTTTCTTTGGCCTTCTCTTCCAATTTATACAGCAAAATAAAAACATCCTGTGAGTAGCCAGTGCTTGTTATTCTGGAGTTTTGGTTTCTCTGGGAATACGTTCTTTTCCTCCTACCCTGAAATGGTAACTTTCATTTATACATCAGCTTGTTTGAGCCATGACGGTCAGCTTCAGGCTAGCCTACCAGGGACAATAGTTCTTTGTTCCTGGCAGCAGGAAGGTCTTCTACATCTAAGGAATTCAATAAACACAACCTCGGATATTTAATATGAATCTTAAGTATTGACCTACTTCATTTCACAAATATATTTTTACCAAGTTCCAAGTTCATGAATTTTCAAAGTAGAGCAAGAGATGGAGTCAAATTTCAGGTCTGTCGACTCAGTGGGAAGGCGGAGTGAACTGTGCAGATTTTGCCTGGTTCCTGGAATCAAGGCGGCTGGGAGCAGACAGGCCGAGGCCCCGCCCACCCTGCACAGGCCTCCCACACAGGCTGCAGCCAGGCGGCCTCCAGTTGCTGCCCACGCACCTCCTCTGTCTCTACTGTCCCCCAAGGCAGACTAAGTTCTAGGGGCGTTGAAGCTGTTTCTGATGTTCAGGCAGGACCTGCTGCCTGGAGCGTCTCCCTGCGAGGCTGAGGCCTGCCTTCCGCAGCCACACCGAGTGAGTTTCCTTCCTCTGCAGCTAACGTTGCTTCGCACATCGCGACTCCTTTCCTCCTTCCTCCCTGGACGGAACATTCCAAATGGGTCACAGACTTCAGATCCCTTATCATCCGGCTCCCCCTTTATTCTCACGACAACTTCTCTCTCAAAGCGAGTATTCGGAGTCCAGGACGATGTGAGACAGGCTTCCCGTGGCTGTCAGGCTAAAGTCAAAATGCGGAGTCTGACCTACAAAGCCCCTAGAACCTGGCCCTGCCCATCTTGCCGGCCTCCGCGGGACCCTCTGCTGCCCTAGCCATCCGCAGCCGCTAGCCTGCACCGTGCTCCTGCCCCCCAGGGCCCCTGCAGCGGCGTCCCACACCGCATCGCCGACCCTCCCGCTGGTTGGCCGCCTCACCCTCACCCTCCAGGTCTAGGCAGGCTGGGGCCTCGGAAGGGCCCTCCCCGACCTCTTCTCTCGGCCCAGTCGTCTCCTGCACTGGCCCGTGTCCGGCACAAAGGAAGTGCTCCGTGACTTCTCGTGAGGCGAACTAATTACACACAATGGAGCTATCCCTTCCCACCATCTGGATACCTTTCTCCTGCTTGTTACCCGCCCCCCATCCACAATACAGTCAAACCTCGGTACCCGAACATCTCCCATCTCAAACAATTCGGTTCTCGACCAAGCTGTTCATGGAAAAAACGTCTCAACGTCGTCTCAACGTCGTTGGAAACGTCATGGAAAAAACGTCTCAAGAGCGAACACAACTTCAGATCTTGACCCAACAAGCCTTCCATGCGGATACCTGTATGATCAGTCTCGTGTCTCTCAGGCGACAAAGGAGATTCAGTTTCAAACAAATTGCTTCTTGAACAGCCTTTCAGAACCAAGTAAGTGCGAGAACCAAAGGTCTGTGGTCCAGGAGCTTACACCCCGACCCCCTGGCAGCTGTCAGGCGGCTTGGCCCTGACGGTACAAGCCGGAGGTCGGCGAAGCCCTTCAGGGAGCCCCTGACTCCTGGAAGAGGGAGACGCGTGCAACCAGAAACGCAAACCTCCACCTGTCCTACAGAAGAGGCACGCACACAGGGCTAGGAGCGCCCAAAATCAGACAGACCACCACGGCCTACGGCAAGGGGACAAGAAGGCTTCGTGAGGTGACACCGGAGCGGAGAGGGGCAAGGACAGACCTACATCTACTGAACGCTGGCCGCGCAGCATTCGGCGAGGCGCTTCTCTCCGTCTCCGTGTCCGCCCTGTTAAACAAGGGGTCATGGCAGCGACCTCTGGGGCCCAGCTAGCCCTCAAAGCCTAACACTGTCTTTGATGTCGATAAACATACTGAGTGGCTCCTGTGCTCAGTGCGCGTAAGTGGCACGTTCAGTACTCGCAGGCGTGATCTCCTCTACCAATACAGCTACCGGTGTCACCTCATTTTCAGAGGAGACCGCTGGGGGCACGAGAGCGAGCCGCCCCTATCACTGAGGGATCCAGGCCTTGCCCAGGCGGCGCCGCCACGGCCCTGACATGCCTTTTATCAACTGTACCCTGTTTGGTTAGAAAACATTGTGAATCGTTGGATTCCTATTTCGTTTTGAGTTGTTTTCTAAAAGGACACACACCAGGACGTTAACCAGAGATAAGGGCGGTTGTTTTTTTAAAAAAGTCTACTTCCCAAATTTTGTACAATAACTCTGTACTAATTCAATAATCAGAAAACATTCTGCACAACGGTAGCATAATTTAGGCCGTCAAAGTCTGTCAAAATCCTGGGCGCTTGCGACCCATCCGAGTCCAGCATATCCACAAGTCTCATTCAAGACACACATGAAAAGGCAGGTACAGACGAGGCCACCGCAGACCCCCGCCATCCTCCCGCGAACACCCTTTGACACGGTAGTTCAAACACTCATAAAACCAGACACTCTGTGTTTATTCTGCTCAAAGTTCCAGTCAACTCTCCCTGTGTGCAGTTACTCTGGGCACAGGAATTCTGTTACACAAAATGGAGCCAACAGGAGCTTGCCGTATTTTGCTGTGAAAAGTGGCCCTTTTTGGCCCAAATTTTTGAGGGGAAAAAAATAAAGGTGTGCATTATGCATCAGTAGTGCTAATTCTGTACCTACATAAATGTTTTTAATTATGTTAAAAAATAAATACTAAAGTATGTTCATAAAGTATACAAAACATATGCTAAAATTCCTTTATGACACAAGAAACATGTACCTGAATATAAATAAGTAAAAATTCAGTTAAAAAATTAAAACAAAAGTTTTTTTTCCTGAAAGTTTGGGCCAGAAACATGGGTGCGCATTATACACAGGGCACATTATACGTTGCAATGTATGGTATTTCTTTCTTTATCATTAGCATTTCATAAGTCAGAAAACGTGTAGTCTTTATGCATATTATCTCCTGTAACCGTCATAATAAACCCATGTGAAGTAGAAAGTATTGTTCTCATGTCACGGCTAGGGAAAGCAGGAATCAGAAGTGAAGCAACTTCCTGAACGTCACAGAGCTAGCGTGTCGCCGGGCTGGCCTCCAATCCCTGGCCCGTCCTCCCCAAATCCCAGGCTCCCAGTGGCTCTTCTGCCCTTTCCCTCCCCCTCCCGCAGAGCTGGGGCCACACGGCCCGCCCGCTGAAAACTCCTCACTCCCAAGCCTCTAAATCCTAAAGCGTGTCACAAAAAATTAACAAATCAACAAAAACAAGAATACCAAAGAGACTCCAGATATTGGGTGGTAGTTTATAAGAACTCAAGGAATTTCAACTTCAGCACACTGGCTGCATGAACTTTGGCAACGAACTTTTCAATGGAATTATCTGTTGCTTTTTCGAGAAAACACACACACACACACACACACACACACACACACACACACACCCCCTCCCCCTTCCTTGGCAAGAGATCGCACCCCTCCTGTTGTTTGAGGTAATGAGGTTTTACAACAGATTTTTCTGCCTTACCCCTCCCCTTTTCCAGGAGATAAGTTTATCATCCTAGAAACTAGTTTTCAGCTCTGGCTAAGTTTAAGGCTTCCTTCCCCTCCCTAGTCAGGGAATTATGTTTTTGAGTTTTATTTTCTTTCCCCCCTCCATTGCGCGTGGATGAAATCTATGCATTTTTAGAGGCACTTAAAATGCATTTCTATCGTCTAGCTCTTATTCCTGAAACAAACGACCCCTGAAGTCGAGAAAACGGTGGCTGAGATGCGGTGGTGACAGCGCGGGGACTCAGGCCCAAGCGTCAGTTCTAACTTCTACGCGCGCCGGCCTCCAATCCCTTCCTTTCCAGTCCTCCAACTAGCAGCTCCAGCTAGCTCGCGCCCCTCCAAAAACCTCCCCGCCGGGTGGCGTTCTGGTCTTCGACACGTGTTGCTCAGCGACACCGCTCGAAGCTGCCGGAAGTCTGACTCCCCCCAACCCCCAACTCCGAAGATAATTCCAAACCCGAGAGGCAAAGCGGCAGCTGTCGGCAGCTTGCCGCGCGCAGGCCGGGCCCCGCCCGGTGCCGATGGACCCGCAGACGGTCACAACTCACCCGCCTCGCCTGGGCCGTGCGGGGTCTGGAGGGCGTCCCGGGGGCGGCGGAGAGGTGCAAGAGCACTCCGTCGGTGGCTGCCATGGCCGGCGAGGAGGCGCGGCCACACGCAGGCAAGCGGGGCGCGTCTGCACCTCGCGAACCTAGACCGCAGCTCCGCTCTGGCCACGTGGGACGCGCGCGAGGACCCCGCTTAGCTGCCCCGCCGGGTCCTGCGGCCGTGCCCCTTCCGGGTCCCGCAGGGCCCGTAAGCACAAGGCCTGTCTCACTGGTGACCGGAGCCACGGGGAGGGGTGGCTGTCCCGTTTGTCATCGCTTGTGGCTTGACCTGTGTGAGCGGATGCCAAGTGACACTCAACCCCAGAGTTCATGTTTGTGAAGTTCTTTGGAGTCCTCTGAGGAACAACAGGCCGTGCGCCATCTAACCGACATTTGCGTCGTTTGCCCGCGGGTTACCGTTCCCTCAGTTGGGCGCCCCCCCCCCCGCCCCGGGAGAAGTCACTAAAGAGGTCTGGGGCTTGGTCACCTGGAGAGGGGATCCCCGAGGTTCCCTGCCCGCCCCCCGCCACCCGCGGCCGAACCCCGGCGTTTCAATCCCACCCGCCGAGGTGGCGTGTTTTTTAGACAGGCAGTGCCTTGGCCACCTGGCAGGTCTGGGTCGCCTAGCAACAGCGGGGTCCTTCCTGGCTCGGCGGCGCTTTGGGCCTGAGGGAAGAAAACCGCCGAGGAGGGCGCTGGGGGCCGGTGGCGGCGGCGCGGGAGGCGGCAACGGGACGGCGACGCGGTACTGGCGCGCCCGGGGGTCCGACCGCGGCAGCTAACGCGAGATGAACACGGGCGACAAGGCCCGGCTGGGGCCCGCGGCCGACGGGCCCGCGCCGCCCGAGGAGGGGGGCGAGGCGGGCGGGAAGGAGCAGGCGGCGGACGCGACCCCGGGGCCCAGCGACGCGTTCCGCCTCCTGGTGACTCGGCGGGAGCCGGCCGTGAGGCTGCAGTATGCAGTGAGCGGCCTGGAGCCGCTGACCTGGTCGGAGGACCACCGCGTGTCCGTGTCCACGGCCCGCAGCATCGCTGTCCTGGAGCTCATCTGCGACGTGCACAACCCGGGCCAGGACCTGGTTATCCACCGCACCTCAGTGCCCGCCCCTCTCAACAGCTGCCTCCTCAAAGTAAGCCATCCCGGGCCCTCCCTCGGCCGCGTCACCGGTCCCCGGGGAGTCTCCGCTTCGCAGCCGGCGCGTCGGGTGAAGCGGCTAGGGTCGCCGTAGCCGAGAAAGCAGGCACGAAACCTTGCAGCTGCTTGTGCCCGGCGTCCCGGGTCACGCGCCCCCGCTCCCGCTCCCGACACACGCGTCCCGGGAGGCTCCGTCGAGCTCGCGTCTGGCAGGCTGCGGGCGCAGATTTACTCTCCGTGGTGTTGTTTTCTGAGACTCCACCCCCTGTGACCCAGCCCCTGCCTCGCCCGTGCCGCCGCGCCCATTGTTTGGGGCCGGCTCCCCGAGGACGCGGCTGGCTTTGTTCGTGGCGAGGTGCCTTCCTCTCGCTCCCCTTTCGCTCCGGAGGAGGAGAGTTGGTCCTTTCCATCGTCGTAACCGTTCCCAGCGACTTCAGTATGAGTAGCTCTCACCCTGGGCAGATGGGCAAATACTGGATCTTGGAGTTTGTACTCCAGGGTTTTTTTTAATAGCTAAAAAATTTTCGGGGTGCGGAATGAAAAAGAAAAATAAAGCCGCTGGCAGTTAAGTGCAGTTCTTAAACTTCAGGTCCAGGCTTCTTTAGATTTAGTGCTTTCAGCTTCATATAAACGAAGTTTGCCTTCAGAACTTTTGGGTTTCCACATGTTACTGTTGTAACATCATTTTCAAGTTCATTTATTTTTTGTTCGAAGACTTTATTTAATACTAGAGAGAGGGGAAGGGAGGGAGAAAGAGAGGGAGAGAAGCAGCCGTGTGTGGTTGCCTCGCGCGCCCCGCGCTGCGGGCCTGGCCCGCCTGGGGATTGAACGGGCGACGCTGGGGTTCGCAGGCCGTCCGCTGAGCCCCGCCAGCCAGGGCCAAGTTCGTTTCTTTAAAGTGGTCGGTCCTGTCGTTCATCGTGTGGTTTAGAAGTGCGGTGTAAAAACTTCTGCTGTGTCCTTCAAAGGTTTGTCTGTACATACACGATTAATCAAAGTGTACGCTCACTCATTCAACAGATTCAAACACCGCAGCGACTCAGCTAGACATCGGTGTGGGTTCTGGAAGTAAGGCAGCGCGCGGAACAAAGCCTCCGCCCTTTTGGCGCTTACGTTCTTTAGCACGTCCTGAACAAAGACAAATGTCACGTCAGGTGGTGATTAGCCCTGTAAAGTTACGTATCTGTATACAGAAAGGGCATTTATGTGAAAGAGGACTTCAAGGTAAAACCTCTCTTCGCTCTGCACAGGCATTTTAAAGGCAGCGAGCCACACCGCTTTCAGCGTACTCACGTGTTGAAGGGACAGCTCTGTGTCGAATTAAACCGCTGGTGAGCTTGTGTGACTGAGCCCTCTAGCTCTCCTTGGAGAACATGTGAACAGATTGGTCCAAATAAAACATCAGGTGGACAGGTGCTGGTGATGCTGTGGCGTTGAGAAACACTGAGGGAGGGCGGCAGAAGAAAGGGGTTTAAAAGGCGTGGCCTCTGCTGAGAGGGAACTTAGGTTTCTAAGGCTGTTCGAATGTCCGAGAGCTAGAGGGAACTGTAAGTGTGTCTTGTGTGTGTGAATACAGTAGAGATTTTACACTTTGGCAGAGAGACTCTGAAGGAACAGTGAGCAGAGGCAGGTCCATCAGGGCGGGTTCTCTGCCGGAGGGTCTGCCGCGGTCCTGAAGGGAGGAGGGACGGAGAGCGTCGCCCAGGTGGCAGGAGGACGGTGTCCGTCTCAGGCGGGGGTGCATTTAAGATATGCTGTAAGGAATGACGGACCAGCAGATGAGCCCTTCTAGGGAGTCGAGGAAGTTAGGTGAGGCCGATTCGGTGGCATTGAAGGTCCGTCGGAGGAAGCTGGTTTCAATCCGGGAAGCCCTGAGGCACAGTTAAACTTCCACAGGCCGGGCCTGACCTGGTGCGGCTCCCAGAAGTGAATCGGGCTGGACTACAGGCACAAAGGTGAGCGTTGGGGTCGGTTATAACATAGGGGTTAGGAGACTGGGCTTTGGCGTGAGACAGCAAGACGATAGGCCTCTCTGTAAGAGGGGATAACGAAAGCTACCTGGTTTAGCCTTTTTGGAAAATTAAATACAATACACATGTGGATATTTATATATGTATGCACATAAACACATACATGAATCAGCACAGTTCCTGGCATACTTTAAATGCTGGGGTAAAAAAAATGCAGCCATGCAAGTATGAAGGAATGAGAGTCCGGATTGGAGCGGTGGTTGTAGATGTGAAGATGAACGTGGGATTCTGATAGATACTTGACTTCTTCATCATTGACCCTGCGATGCCTAACAAGTATTTAGGAAATCTGTATATCCCGCTGGCAGTCGGTGGAGAGCGTGCCTGAGAGCAGCGTCCTTCCCCGTCTGCACGAGCCTTTGGGGTGCGGTCAGCAGCCTCGGTGGCCAGGGCACCTGCTGAGTGGAGCCAGGTGGTCCCTGTGGCTCTAACGGAGACCCCTGGAGTAGAACCCTCGCGAAGTGTCAGGGATGAAAAAAAGTCTGCATCGGTGCTCGGCGGCTGTGCCCGTGGGCCCTCCCTGGGGTATAAAGTCTGCTCGGTGCTGCCCCACTTACCTCCGTCCCGGCACAGGAGTAGGCGTCCTGCCCGGGGCCGCGGTGGCACTGTGAGCATGACACGGCTGGAAGACCACCCCCTCGCAGCTTTGGCCCTATGACTCTGTTATTTAGACTGTGGATTTGTTCCAGAAAAATACAGTTATGTGATAGTTCACATTCCACCATTTTCAAGTTACCACTGTCAGCATTAGGATGTGATACAAATCTGAAAAACAAAACAGTGATTTAAGAGTGTTACAGGCTTTCCCATTGGACTGCTGATTTAGACAACGCTGTAATTGTATGAAGTACAAAACTAACACCGTGCGCGCGCATCTACTTTTATTGAGTATCAATTGTTAGGAGCATTTGAAAGTAGTAACTCTGTCTACTATATTAAGTTCATAGCTATTGCCTGTCTTTGGAATCATGTTCCTGCCCTCAAAAAGCTTAGTGTCTAATAGCTTCATGTAAGTTTTTATTTGGTAGGTGCTTACAAAGTATGTAGGGATTAATAGTAATGGTGGCCAACTGGACAAGGGATATTCTGTAGGTGGGCTGGGGGCGGGCTGGGGGAGCTGGACTCTTAAGTGGTATATTCCTTGAACATCTGAGTATTCGTTTCAGCTTTTTAACTAGTTTGGTCATGTGGAGAGTTGGGAGAGGTACAGTGGGGGTCGTTCAGACTAATGTGTTAGAAATCACTACACAAAACCATGAGGAATTTCCCTCTTGGTCCAGGTTCATGCTGCCCTCTGCCCTGTCAGAGAGTTCTTCCTACCTGGTGATTGCGGAGGGGAGGGGGTGTAAGGGGACTAAATGTAATGGAAAAAATATAATAAAGATTAGACTTTTAAAAAAGAGGAAAAAAAGTTTTTCCTACCATGAGAGGGACTGAAGCTGCGTGAGCTTCCTGTTTCACCCGGAGCGGCCACTTAAGGTTACAGATTCTGTGAGTTTACTTCTAGTTCAATAGGAGCTTTCATTCATGTTAAATTCACCTATTGTAGTGCATAGTGTTCTAGGAGCTGGCAAACCATCTTATGTCTGCCCTTCATTTCGTGGGCAGCTTTCCCCTGCATCTCACCTACTTCCCTCAGGGCCCCTTAACATTTACTTATTCTTCAGAACGTCATCATCATCATCATCATCATCATCATCACAGCTGGCATTTACTGAGCGTTTTCAATATATGCTTGATGTGTATGGACTTATTTACCCTTCCTAGCGCTGTGAGACCGGCCGCATCGCTACGTTCTGTCTTTGGAAGCGAGGACCCCAGGCTGGAGGTCTGAGCCGTTTGTGCGGGAGCCCAGAGCTGTTACTGGGTGGAGCCAGGATTTGAACCTTGGCCCTCTGGCATCAGAGCACAGACTTCCAGTTGTTGTGCTGGGCATCGTTATGGCACGTTTTAAATTTTATCTGTCCATACAAAACTCTGGGCTTTTATTAGCATTATTTAATTAACAGGCTAAAAGCATGCGCCTGTAATCGGAATTTCTGTTTATACTATTTCTCCAGCATGCCCATAAGTACCATAAGCATTTCCAAAAGAGTACTTTTAGTGCCTTTTTAAAGTCAAGGTATACTGCCTAAGACATCGTTTCTAGACTACCCCCCACAAAGGTGTTTTTTTGTTTGTTTGTTTGTTTTTTAAAGGTTGGACAGCTGGTGAATGTTAAGTCTCTGTGGTAGCGCCTAGGCCGAGGCAGCTCGTGTGCCCCTGTAACTCTCCAAGGGGGGGTGAGGTATAGCCACGGGGCTCTCTTGCAAAGGACAATTTAAGGAGTAGCATCCTGCGTAACACACCTTAGGAAAAGGTAGTCAGCTAATTCATTTGTTGGACATCGTTATATCTGCCTTCCATTTTATATGATTATTCATTAGGTCATCTGGACGTCTCAGCAGAAAAGAGACTAGATTACGCTTCTCCAGGTATCCTGTGCTGGTTTCACATGGTCATGGCCGACTGCGCACGCAGTTCGTTTGTTAACGCTCTGAGGACTTTCATCCCGTCAGGCTCGATGGTCTGCAGTTTCTGTCTTCCCTCTATCTTCTGGGAGACATGTTAAACTATTGACTGTGTGTCGGCTCGCACACGTCCCCGGGTGCCCGCGCTCTATCGGGGTGGGGGGTGCAGTCAGCGGCTCTGAGTTCAGCATCTTCTAGGGTCTCTCTGTGTCCTGCAGTGTGATTCCTCTGGGCTCAGGGACTGAAACTCATTTAAAGTAGATTTTAATTATATCTGTACACATCTTAGGCTTGAATTTCTTATTAAACACAGCCTTCTGCCTTTTCCAGTTTGAGAATCAGCCTCTATGTAAAAGGAACATGACACTAAAGGAATGGAAAGATTCTGCTCTCTCTGTTATCCATTTCTCTAACACAGCAGGTCAAGTCCTTCTTGACATGACAGAAACCATAGTTTAACCTCTGCTTTTCTGGTTTTTGGGGGGTTTTTTCTTCTGGCTTTAGGCTCCCTGGCTATTAGGGCTCTGGACCACTTTCTTTTGGTCGCTTAGCTTTTCCTCCATCTTCAACGTCCCTTTATGATGTTTTTGAAGAAATGCCAGCGTTCGGCTGGGCGCTGCTGGCGTGCATCGCCCCCTTGGAGGAGGGGAGCCCGGGGAGCCGGACGGGGTCTCAGACGGGGTCTCTTGGGAGGAAGGCGCATTCTAGGCGAGGCGGCCCGGGAGGGGCGGGTGGGAGGGCCCAGGGGTCGGCCAGTAGTCGGAGGGGACGCTATTCTGTGGAAGCACCGGAAAGCAGTGGGAATTGGCTTTCGGCGTAATTTATAAATGAAATTTCAGCTAGAAAACTTGAAGGTTGCATTTGTGTTGTAAAGATGTTATAAAAATCCAAATATCTAACTGTAGCAAAGATGTATATGAGTATTTTCACGAATTTTGACACCTTTATTGCTTTTGTGACTAGTTCAGCTAAGCACTCTGCTGACTCTTAAGAATCAAGCGCCTCGCTCTTGTCCTTATTGCTTATGTCAATTCTAAGAAGAAGGTGGAACCAGGCTATAAGTAGCAATGAGAGTTATTTTGAACCTTTTTTAAAAATTGCCATTTTCTGAATATGTGCTTATTTAGTTTTAGACCTGTATTTGATCTTTTAAATGCATGTCATACCAAAATTAGCAGAAGCAATACAAAATTACTGTATATGTTAATATGACTTAGTTAACATGCCCTAAGTTATAGAAATATGTTTCTAGAGTGAAATAGTTATCTAATAGTTTTTCTCTCTCATTTTCAGGTTGGCTCAAAAGCGGAGGTCGCCGAGTGTAAGCAGAGGTTCGCCACCTCTGCAGACCCCACAGTCAGCCAGACTTTCATGCTGGATCGGGCGTTCAACCCCGAGGGGAAGGCCTTGCCACCACTGAGAGGGTTCAAGTACACCAGCTGGTCCCCCGTGGGCTGCGACGCCAATGGCAGGTGCCTTTTGGCAGCACTGACCATGGACAATCGCCTGACCATCCAGGCTAACCTCAACAGACTCCAGTGGGTCCAGCTGGTCGACCTGACGGAGATCTACGGGGAACGTCTTTACGAGACCAGTTACCGGCTCTCTAAGAACGAGGCCCCAGCAGGGAGTCTGGCGGATTTTGCGGAGTTTCAGCGGAGACACAGCATGCAGACGCCAGTCAGAATGGAGTGGTCGGGCATCTGCACCACCCAGCAGGTCAAGCACAACAACGAGTGCCGGGACGTGGGGAGCGTGCTCCTGGCGGTCCTCTTCGAGAACGGCAACATCGCTGTGTGGCAGTTTCAGCTCCCCTTCGTGGGAAAGGAATCCATCTCTTCGTGCAGCACGATTGAGTCGGGCATCAACTCTCCCAGTGTCTTGTTTTGGTGGGAATATGAGCACAATAATCGGAAAATGAGCGGCCTTATTGTGGGGAGTGCTTTCGGACCTGTAAAAATCCTCCCTGTCAATCTCAAAGCAGTGAAAGGCTATTTCACTTTAAGGCAGCCTGTCGTCTTGTGGAAGGAGATGGACCAGTTGCCCGTGCACAGCATCAAATGTGTCCCGCTTTATCACCCGTACCAGAAGTGTAGCTGTAGCTTGGTGGTGGCTGCCAGAGGACCCTATGTGTTCTGGTGTCTCCTGCTGATCTCCAAAGCAGGTCTGAACGTTCACAACTCCCACGTCACGGGCCTTCACTCGCTCCCGATCGTCTCCATGACTGCAGACAAGCAGAATGGGACGGTCTATACCTGTTCCAGCGACGGCAAGGTGCGGCAGCTGATTCCCATTTTCACAGATGTCGCACTGAAGTTCGAGCACCAGTTGATCCGACTCTCCGATGTGTTTGGCTCCGTGAGGACTCACGGGATAGCGGTGAGCCCCTGCGGCGCGTATCTGGCCATCATCACAACGGAGGGCATGGTCAATGGCCTCCATCCCGTGAACAAAAACTACCAGGTCCAGTTCGTTGCTCTCAAAACCTTTGAAGAGGCAGCTGCTCAGCTCCTGGAGTCTTCAATTCAGAATCTCTTTAAGCAGGTAGATCTAATAGACATAGTACGCTGGAAGATTCTAAAAGATAAACACATCCCGCAGTTTTTACAAGAAGCTTTGGAAAAAAAGATCGAAAGCAGCGGGGCCACCTATTTTTGGCGCTTCAAGCTTTTCCTCCTGAGGATTTTATACCAGTCGATGCAGAAAACCCCTTCCGAGGCCTTGTGGAAGCCCACCCGCGAAGACTCAAAAATCTTACTGAGTGACTCCCCTGCAGCGGGCAATGCCGAGGACGAGCAGCAAGAGGAAGGCACTTCCTCCAAACAGGTGACGAAGCAAGGCCTTCAGGAGAGGAGCAAAGAAGGGGACCCAGAGGACCCCACAGATGACTCCCTCGCCCAGTCTGGAGACGCTGGAGGCCGTGAGCCCATGGAGGAGAAACTCCTCGAAATCCAAGGGAAAATCGAAGCCGTGGAAATGCACTTGACCAGGGAGCACATGAAGCGAGTCTTGGGAGAAGTGTACCTGCACACCTGGATCACAGAAAACACCAGCATCCCCACCAGGGGACTCTGTAACTTCCTAATGTCTGATGAAGAGTATGATGACCGAACAGCACGGGTAGGTGTTGACAAAAATGCTGAAGCTGTGAAAAGTCTGCTGTCTTTGTGACCTAAATTGAATTTTCTAAAGCTCAGTTTTTGCTGTGATGTGTCTTAGGTAGTTGATAGGCATGAGGTGCTGGCAAATAAGGAAGAAGCACATCGTTCGTGTCACACAAAATACTAGCTCAGTTCTTCCCCTCCCTGTGGCTGTGTGTGATGCACAGGGTTTGCAGGTGAGGTTTCCGGACTGAGGATGAGCTCCAGGAGGCTGTCCTCAGGGGACGCGGAGGTGACTGGGCAGCCACAGGTGCAGAGGTAGGCACCGTGTGCCTGTCCCTTGCTGTTGACAAAAAGTTTGTTTCTTTGTTTGGGGGTGGGGGGGATGTTTCCGTTTGAAAGGCCTTGGGGATGTCTTCTGATTTAGTTAAGGGCATATAAAGTAAACAGGTTACTCATGTTGTTTTTATAAAAACTGGGTATAATCTTTATTTTGTTACTGTAACAATCATATGGTGTTATGCAAAATGTAGTCCACAGAATTCAAGCTCCCTGACAGCATCAGGCTTGGGGGAAACGGGGGCCTCCGCATTCCCCTTAAAGGTCCCCAGGGCGCGTTCTCCGCGGGAAGAACACTTAAGGCGGTGTGGCCCCTGTTATCCAGAGGGAAGAGCTCGTGTTACAGGGACCGTGCGGTCTCGGTCTGCTAACATCATCACCACCGCCGCGGCCGCATCCTTTCTCCCTGGGAAGATTGACCCTTAAAAAGCCTTATTTAAAACATTCCTTGGAGGCCGTACATTCGAAGACTGTTGTCCCTGGTGTTAAACCACTCCCAGTCACTTGTTGGACTTTCTCTCTGTGTACATATATGTGCACCCCTGAAATTATTGCTCACAGGATGTTTGCAACCTTCTCAAGAGTAGTTGAGATGTGTTGTTCATGGAACTGGCTTCATTTTTGAAAGTCACCTTTTAAACATGGGTTCCTGGTCGTAACGGCAGTGGGTTGGTGGCACTCAGAGCAGTGGTGGCCGGTGGGCTGCATCCGGCACCCTGGCGATCCGCGGGAGTTTCTAGAACACGCAGCCCCTGGCTGTTTACCGGGGCACTGACCTCTTCCATGAGATTGTCCAGTAAGATGATGGCAGCAGCCAACGCAGCGATAACCGGCTGGTGGGAATGAATTAAAATGATGTCCCTTTTTTGGTCACATCACCAAAAACTACGTCTTGCGCTGTGCCGCAGAGCTTTGGCAAGTGAGATGACAAGGCCGAACTCCCCGGTGCAGAGCGACGGCCCGGCGCCCAGGTAGCACGGCGGCCGCGTCAGCCTGGTGACGTGGCCCTGATGGCCAGTCGCAGGAGAGGAGGCTGCGTTTCTGCCCACCCACAGCAACTGAGTTTTGATTGTGAACATGTGTTTTTGTCTTAAAAATCCCACTGTGTGCATAAAGTGAATCTTTTTACACCCCACACGTTGCTTGAGCAGCAGCGGTAAGCCCTGAGCGCCTCGGCCTGGTGTGCTGGCCTGATGAGGCCGGCGTTTCTCCTCCTCCCCCGACCCCGTCATCACCGTCGCCGCCCCCTGGCCTTGTTAGACTTTTTTTCTAATAGTTGTTGCCCGTGAAATTTTAATGCCATAGATATATTGTGTGTCTGTTTATGTACTATGTGAACGTCGGTACTTTATACATAAAAAGGGCAAGATTTTTCCATTCGCCAAGAATCACTCTTGGCCCCTTTGGGAAGAATGTCGCCCCCGCTGAGAAGGCGGGCGCTAAACCGGCAGACAGGCAGGCGTGTGTGCGCAAGGCTCGTGAGCAAGCAGGAGCCATCCTTCCTGGTGGGAAACCGCTCCCTGTCTCCACATAGCTTCAAATCTCTATGTCCAGAGTAAGTAGGTCAGACACTTGTGGAGTTATGAAGACACCCCTCAAGCCTTCAGTGAAGTAGTATTAGTGAACGGCAGGTTTAGAGGGTCCTTCCCCCAGGACTCGAGTGTAAGTGGATTAAAAACACAGGACATTATCTGCCAGAAAGACTAGGTGCTGAGGAGTTTGGTGTTTCCCATCCCAGTGATGACGTCCCTGAAGCTTTTTCCAACAAAGTAAGGTAGATCAGTGTTTTCCAGGCTTCCATTTTTTAAGATTTTATTTATTTATTTTTAGAGAGAGAGGAAGGGAGGGAGTGAGGGAGATTGATCGGTTGCCTCTCGCACACGTTCCCCACTGGGGGCCCGGCCCGCAGCCCAGGCCTGCGCCCAGACTGGGAATCAAACCAGCAACCTCTCTGTTCGCAGGCTGGTGCTCAGTCGGCTGAGCCACACCAGCCGGGGCTCAGGCTTTCATGTTAAAGCAGTGCAACTCTAAGACCAAAGCAGAGAAGGGGGAGCTGAGATCGGCCCTGTCGGCCTCTCCCCGGCCCGGCCCCCAGGGGGTCCTGCCCCTTCCCGCCTCTGCCACGGGGTCAGTGGGTTTCATGCTGCAGCCGCTAGGCTGGATCGCTTAGGGGTCTTGGGGCTATCAGAAGGGGAAATGATTGGGGTTTTTTACTCCTATCTTTTTTACTTTGTAAGCCTTTCTTGAAGAATAGACATGTATACAATTCTACCAAGTTAGTATTTCTCTTAATGCAATATTTGGGCTATAGAAATTAGGCTTTTCCTTCCTAAAATTAGAACATTGTAAGTAATAGCTAAATACTTTGTGTTCTGACAGAACTCTGAAGTCCTTGTTTTGGAAGCAGCGAAAACAAGGCAAGTGACAAGATTGTGGTTTTCAGAACGGCTTTTTCTTCGGTGGTTATTGTTCACGCTGTCGTCACAGGTGCCTGAATGAGTCGATCTTGCTCAGCCAGATGATGCAGTGGGACGTCTAGCCCTTTCACTTCCCAGACAGTAGGATGGAGATGCAAATCTCTTGTCTCGTGTACAGAGTGGCGTAGTTTTTCATTTCCGTCCGGAAGCCCTGTACTCTAAACATTGCGACTGCTCTGTCTTACTAGGTGCTGATCGGCCACATCTCGAAGAAGATGAACAAGCAGACTTTCCCCGAGCACTGCAGTTTATGTAAAGAGATCTTGCCATTCACGGATCGCAAACAGGCAGTCTGTTCCAACGGCCACATTTGGCTCCGGTAAGCCGTTCGCAGCCAGATCCTGCTCCTGTGATGTTTTCAGTCCCCTGTAGCGCGGAGTTGTGAAGTGTTTGTCCCAGACAGGTGTGCCCCGGGCACGAGGTGGGAGAAAAGCTGCCGTCCTCGGGCCTGACTGAAGCAGCGCGGCCTTCAATGACGCTTTTTTGCTGCTTGATAGGGAGAGGAATTGCTTTATTTGTGGAACACTGTTTTCTTTTGAAGTAGCATTACATTTTTCAAAATTATTACTCAAAAGTAATACCTGTTCAACTTAGTGGAATATGAAAGTGCTGTGTACTTGTTTAACGTCACAATAAAAGGGAGGCGCCCTCCTCCCTTGGCCCTCGGCCTCACTCCGAGAGGGAGCCCGCGCGTGTCCTTGTTTTGTGGATACTGCCAGTCACTTCCTCCTCCTTGTCCCCCACGCACTCCCATCACCAGGCTTCCTGCACACAGTGCTCCCTGTCTTCCTTCCTGCCTCTGGCCCTTCGTGCCCCGTCATCCACTTCATCCCCTTGATGTCCGTCTTCGGACCCATTTTTCTGTACGAGCCTGAGCAGCATTTGGCTTGTAATGGTTCCAGCCGCAGACGCCTCTTGAACACTGTCGCTGTGGCTGGTACTCTTGTGAGCAACACACCGGTCCTCACCGCTGCTCACAAGGGCCGGGGGGATGTACACTTATCCCCACGTTTACGGATGAGGAAGATGGCATCGGGGACGTTAAATAACGCGCTCAGAGTCACACGGGGCAGTGACAGCTAGAACTGGGCGTTCCGGCTCCAGAGTTCACAGGTGTAACACCACACGTGTAAGCCCCTCCCTCTGCTGACTGAGGCCAGTGCCAGAATGCCCCCGTGTGCTTTCTCCCGGGGGACGTGGCGCTCGCCCCCCTCGGCAGGGGGGTGGCCTTCTTGCACGCCCAAGCCTGCCTCCAGGTGGACCTCCGTGGGGTCTCCCTCCGGCCCCTTTCCTCTTGGCGCTCTTCCGCTCCCTGGCCACAGGGGAACCTCCCCACAGAACCCGCACATGCGCTCTCCTGTCTCCTTGCATCCTGCTTTCCTGACTTGCCAGGTCTGGGAAGATGCCCGGTGAACCGTCATTGGGTAGAACCGGAGCCCATGAACATTCATTCCCTTCTTTATTGACACCCTTAGTTTTGTCTTCTACATCCTTCGGGTTTTCCCCACTGTGCTGTCAGATTCGTGAAAATAGTGCTGGGACCTCATCTTAAAAGTCACTCACAAGAACAGTTTTCAGTCTAATATGTGGTTGATTTTTTAAACAACATTTCAACGCAGTAAGGTATGGACAGAGTAAACTTTCCCAGTGCTGCAAACAGGCAAGAAAGAAGCCGCGAGCCTGCGCGTCGCTCGCTGTCCGTGTGAGAAGCCGCCTCTTGCCAGCGGGACACAGGTGCCTCCCCTTCACTCAGAGCATCCCCGTGCGGCCTCCTGTAGTGCAGCCCGCTACGGAGACGGCGCGGTCAGGGGTTTGAACAGTGTTCGCCCTTCGCTTGGTTAGTGCTGCTTTTAGGATAACGGGTGAGTTACCAACGCTGTCCACCCTCCAGGGGCCGGTGGAACAGACGAGACTGTCTGCTTTCTTTCAGGTGCTTTTTAACCTACCAGTCCTGCCAGAGCTTGATCTACAGAAGGTGTCTGCTCCACGACAGCATCGCCCGCCACCCAGCTCCCGAAGGTGAGTGATGCTTCCCCCGCCCGGGGAGGGCGAGGCGGAGCCCGCAGGCCGGCACACGGGCGCCTGGCGGCCACGGTCAGCTCGCGCTGCTCTGCACAGCAGCGTCATGCACCACCGCTAATTTAGAAAGGTGCTGGGACTATGTCATGGTCGCGTCTGCGCCGCACTTCAGTGTGTAAGTCTGTTGTTCTGTTGCTGCAAGGGATTCCTTCTACAACCTGCCCCAGGTGGTTTTACCTGATGTAGCTAGATCACATTTGAGGGGAAACTCCACAGCACATGACCCTGGGTACGACAACAGAGTTGCTAGATGGTCACAGGACGTGCAGGTGGGGTCCTTCTGGCAGCCATGCTGGGCTTTTATTCTGGTTGGTCTGTGTGCTTTTCCGATGCCCCAGTGACAAAGCCAACGTCCTGAGATAACTGCTTGGAAATAAGATTGTGGACGCGGTGAGGGAGTTTAGAGACGTAAACAGCCACAGGAAGGTCGGATTCATGACCTGCAGGTCATGAACATCGCACTCTAACCAAGTGAGCTAACTGGACCCAGTCACATACACCTCCTGGGGGGATCTGGTCTCGGTGAAGTAAAACAGAAAACATTCCCCCCTAAAATGACACCCTTAGGCTTGCCTTTTTCTTCCCTGGCTGAAGCACTCGGATTGTGAGGAGGTGGTATGTTGGCAGCTTATGTTCCGTGTTTGACTTTTTATTAGAGAAAATGCCACCGGGTACGGCGTGGAGGAAAGAGCGTGACGCCTCCTCGTGTGCCCGTCCCTCGGCTGCAGGGGTTGCCGGCCGCAGCCCTCACGTCTCACCCGCGGGCCCCGCCCTCTTCCCTCTCACTGGGTTATTTTGAACCGAATTTGGGAGAATTCATAAGCACTCTCTGAAAATTAGTATATTATTTAGGCAGAAAGTCAGGGAAGGATTGAAACAAGTTTAAAAAACAAACGCCCCCCTCCGCTGACTTTGGGCTGAGCCTCAGGCTGCGTTGGGGAGGAGGGGAAGCTGCTGCCCGGCATTGGGGGGAGGGGTGCCAGTTCACAGGCGGGGGCTCGCCATGCTCTTCTCTCTCCAGGTGACGCATTTTTAAATCACTGTGATTTTACGTGTTTTAACATTAACAGTGTACAAGTGAAACTCTGAAGAAGATAACCCTTTAACTCGAGTAAGTTCAGCTCTATGGAACACGCCTCCGCTACCCTGTGTTCCTCTTTCATTACAGAAGGATGACAGCGTCACCACACATTTAGCTTTGGGGACCCCAGGGCTAGTCCGGCCTCGCTTAGAATGTCCAGCGGGGCGCTGTGTCCAGGGACACAGAGCCCGTCCAGAGGGCCCGTCCCCTGACACTGCGGCTCGCCCACCCTGTTCTGAGGCTGACGCTCAGTCCCTCTGGTCTTCCCTTTGCAGATCCCGACTGGATTAAGAGGTTACTGCAAAGCCCCTGCCCTTTCTGCGACTCTCCTGTCTTCTGAGTGTCAGTGGTGGGGCGTGGACAGGGCGTGTGATGTGCTCGACAACACTCTCCGGCTGGAGAGACGGGGCGCGGGAGGCTGGCCTGCGCCACGGGGCGGCGCTCCCCCGGGCCGCCCAGGGCCCCCGCGTCCCCCTCGCCAGCACAGCCCCGTCTCCTGACTGAATGCAGAGCTCCCGGTCGGCCTGAGACAAGAGCCGGCCCCTTTCCCCACCCAGCGAGGACGCCTGTTCTTCAAGTGTCTTGACTGAAGCAGTTTGAACAAATGCGCTCTCGTTCCTAGGACAGAATGATTTCTTCTAGAGGTTTTGGAAAAGGGCCTTGGAGGTGGAGCTAGGATTTAGCCCCAGCCATGGTCTGGAACTGCCTTGCGGCTCCAGAGCGCTTAAACCTGGGCCGGCGTGCCCCAGGAGTTCAAGCGCCTGGACGTGCAGCCTGCTCTTGTGTCCCGTGAATAGCTGCGGAACTCCGTCCCACCAGTTCTTGTTTGAAAACATTTTCCTAAAACTTTATATTTTTAAGAGGCTGAAGCCGATTGTAAAATTGGTTTTAATGTGTCAAAAAGTCAGGTGACACTTGTAAGTTAATAATGGCGACGTATTTTTGATGGTCTCCCGTGTCGTCTGATCTCCTGCCCCAGCTCCCCAGTGTGTATGAGGGTGTCAGGCGTTCCAGTCCACCCGGGTCGCCCTGCCTCCGACTGAACCGTGGTGACCTATGTGAGCTACTTGTACACAGAAGTGGGAGAATGTTTTCTCCTTTAAGTATTAACACTGGGAGTGTTTTGAATGTTGCCATTTGCAGGTGTTCCATTTATGTCCAGTACAGGAGTGTGCAGAACCTACCCGGAGGCCTGGTGGCAGCTCAGGTGCGCACACTTGCGCCCTGGCGTGCAAGTGTGTGCGCCCGTTGGCCATGCTAGGAGGGTGTCCTCTCCGCTGAGGTCCCTGATAGTCACTGTACAGGCGTCTTTCTGTGGGCTGTTTGAGACATTCAGTGTTAATTGGTCTTAAAACTTAAAATAAAAAACAGCCATTACGGAATTCCAGTGTTCTTGGATTTTTACATCGTGCTCCGGGGACTGGTGCTAATCAGGACCAGCAGGCTCGCAGCTTGAAAGGGTGCCTGTTTCTGGAAAGTCGGAGGGGAAATACACAGGGTGAAACTGACTCATGCTCCCTGCCACCTCTTTTGCCTTGACTGGGACACAGTTTCCTACTCTTGTTTTGTATTTAGTGAAAGACATTTTGCCTCACTTGAGAAACGCTTGCTATTGGGTGAGGATGTGACCAACAGCCACACACGTCCTCCTCCTCCCATTTGTGTGGCGTTTGTGTGGTGGGGGCCAGGCCCTTGGAGGCCCTGCCGAGCCCTCGGCTTTGGAATGTTCTTTGTTCTGCGTTCAGAATTCAGAAAGTGCTAGTGAGCCTGGTAAACTCTGTCGCTTTCCTTCCAAACGCCTCCCTGTGTGAGAGTGCGTAGTGGTTCTGGCTCGACGTTGGGAGAGAGCAGCGCTTTCAACCGCTTTCTCTCATGGCATGTAAACTAATTGCTAAAATTTTGCAGCACACCAAAAAATAATTTTTGCTGATATAACAAAAAAAAAGTAAGTATAATTTTGATTCATTCACACCTGAGGGCTAGTGTTGTGTCTGCTGTTGTCTTTTTTTCCCAACTTGACCATCTAAGGAAAAGAGGTCAGCGCCGCCGACTGCACAGGCAGAGCCCCGTCTGGGACGGCCTTGCCCTGCACCGGCTAGAAAGCGGCCCCTGGGCTGGGGGGCGCTGGGTTTTTCACTCCCTCCTCCTCCCGCCCCCGCCTCTGAAGCCACGTCACTCTTGGCGAGCAAAAATTCAGGTTGGAGCTAATCTGAGTGGATCACGGTCAAAATCAGGAGGCCTCAGTTTTTGAAGGGAAAAGTATATTCTGCCCTTCCTTTTTCTTAAGAGATTGGGCAGCATGCACAGCAGACAGATCAGTGGACCCCTTTACAGGCACCCATCACGGCCCCGCACCTCTGCCTGGCCCAGCGCTCCGTCACGGATGTGTCTTGGTGCTCTCTGTCCTGCTGTGTGTCGGTGGCGTCAGCAACGCCGTGGCCTGCAGGATGTCTCCAGGGTCTGACCTGTCCCCTCACACATTAACCCACGTGAACTGTGTTCATTTCCGCTGTTGGTGGAAGTATCAGTTGGCAGCTGTAAGCAGAGTTTTAAACTGTGTCTCAAGGCTCAGAGTTACTAAACGTGCCCTGCCTGCTCCTGACACTGACAGGGGCTTTTGGCGTTGAGATCCCCACGTCTGCCGGCCTGGCGTCTGCCGTATATTCCAGACAGACGGAGAACGTGTGAAACCTGACTGTCCTTGAGTGGAGTTGAATGGAATGGGATGGCAGTCGGCTTTGCAGACTGCAGGGTTGCTCCTGCTGATCTAAAGGGTGTAGCACCCCGAGGAGGCTGCGGGGTGAGTGCCTTTCCGGGGCAGAGGCTGGTGTTGGGGGGCTAGGCAGGCCACGGCCCCCTGCTCGCGGACCCGGTTTGTTTTAGGACGGGCTGCTTCTGAAAACGCCGTATGAAACCAACAGATCTAACCGGGGGAGCGACTGCATGGGCATCCTGTGAAGGAGTCCATCCTTTCGGTGGGTGGCAGTTGCCGCCCCCCGCCCCCCACCCCCAGCCTTTACCCCGTTGGGCGGCTCGGCTTTTCCTGCCCTGCATCGTCTTCAAGTCGTGGCCGTGCTCTATGGGGAGACGCGCCATGCGGCCTGAGGCCCCACCCGCGGCTCCCTTGCAGCGGAATGACGGGGAGCACCACGGCAGTCGCATGTTCCTTCCGGGCTTGGGAGGCGCAAGCACAGGGCAGGCGAGGCTCGCACGCCGCCCGGCAGAGGTGCGGGCCCACTGGCGGAATCACTGAGGGCGGTCGGTGGAAGTGAACATCAGGCTCTGCACGTTCCGTGCGTTTCTAAGGTGCAGACCTGCTTACCTCGCATCGTAAAGCCCTGTGGCTTTCCCGGGGGACCCGTGAAGCGTGGGTCGCTGTGAGAGGCCGTGGTGGCTCTGCGGCGTTTTTACCTATCGGTGTTACGCTTGGCTAGCGGCCGGTAGGGTTTAGGGTGTTTGGTTTTGGTACTAATGCAGAAGTAAATGCAAAAGTCAGTTACGTCTGTTTCAAGACTTTGACTCAGATTTGTACTTTAATGTATGAAAGGACAGTGAATATCAAACTTGTTTATACAAAAATAAGCCTGTATAGAAAATAAGCCCGTGTTGTGTACACTGATGTATATGTTATGTTTACTTGACGCCTATGCTAATCTTTGTGCTTGGCTTTGAATTTTTGTATGTTTACATGTGACATTTTTTGAAATAAAAAGAACAGGCATCTAGAAACTTAAAATTATAAAAGTAAGATGGTTTTTAAATTTTTGCCCTCTGATTCAGTGGTGTATTAAGACTTCTCATGTTTAAATGATACATTTATGAAGAATAACACATTTTGCTTAAAAGACCCCCCCCATCCAGGGAAGTGGGCCGCCTCTCCCCATTGCACCTGTGTACACAGTGTGTATTTCTAGATTGTAAGCTCCTCAAGGGCAGGGACCGCGTTCCATCGCGGTGCTTCCAGCAGCACCTGGTGCCAAGTGCCTTGCACAGAGTGGGTGCTCGTGGTGCGCAGCGTGAGGGACTCCCACCGCCTGCAAGCTGTAGCCTGGCTCACTGCGTCCAGTGCATTCCAGACTGCAAAGGACAGACCGCCGGGGGGGGGTCGTCTCAGTTTGAACTGAGCTTGGGTTGAACTAGACCACGCCATACCCTTAGCACTATCTAGCCTTCTTTTCCCGAAGATAACATACCAGTGTCCTGAGCTTTTATCTAATATTAAGACAGAGGTTTCTGGGAAAGCATGAAGTGGGAAAGGCTTCAGAGAAAATAAAAGGTTAACCTTGGAGGGTGTTTGTCAGTGTGTAGCCCTTGCGGCAGCCTTATTTTAATTACTAAGGGGCGGGGGGCAACAGCCCTCTGTTTCTTCACTGGTTGGCTGCTTGGCAGCCACCAGGGTAAGGAGGGCCCGCCTGTTTTTGGCGGTCCCTCTGGAATTCTGGATTCCCCTCTGTTGCTCCTCTGATTCCAGCCCTTAGAGTCTAATGAAGCTGCTGTGAAATTCCCGGTGCTGTGCGTAACGGCAGTTTTGTAAATGTGAAATAGCCTTGGATATGTTGTGTTTCGTATGCAGAGCCACTAGTATTGTTATCCTGGCCAATTTTTTATTCAAAATAAAGAAATCACAGCATCACTTGCATACTGCGTGCCTATCTTCTCAGGTTCCCGTGGACGGAGTGAGGCAGCAAGGGTAGGTCGCACCGCCGGGGCGTGAGCAGAGGGGGAGCTGTGTGGCTGAGAGGAGGGGCCATCAGCAGCCACCTCAGAGCCCGCTCAGCCTCCAGTTTGTTGCAGAAAACGCACGAGGGAGGTTCGGGGAAACGACCAGCAGAGCTCCAGCACTGTGTTAGACTGCGCGCTGTTAACGTCGGGTAAACAGCGCCTGGTGAGCCTTGAAGCCAAGGACTGATGGCAGGGGTTTCACAGCCATAAACGTGTAACTCCGACCCACACTCCTGCTGAGAACAACCAAAAGAGCTCAACCCGCACCACACAAGGTGAACGGAATGAAAACTACACCTCAACATATCACCGTAAGACCGCTGAAAATCAAAGACAGAACCTGTGAGCGAAGGGAAAGGACGCGCTCCCTCAGAAGCAGCGTGTGTAAGGCACGCTGACTCTCGATGGGAACGATGAGCGTGGGCGGGCGGTGGAAGGCGCCGGAAAGCGCTGCAGGAAAATGCCGGCTGAGAGCCCTGACCTCAGCAAGGCGCCCTCGGGGAGTGAAGCAGACCTTTTCAGACCAACAGAAATGGGGAACGAGTCCTCGACAGCAGGCCGGCGCCAAGGGCCGGGCGCCGCGGAGGCTGCCACTGGGTGCGGGGCGGAGGGTAGTTCACGGGGGCAGCAGGGATGACCGCTCTCGAGGCAGGGCCCGGGGAGGCCCGACGGTGGGGAACGGGCGCTGCGAGGCTCGGAGAGGTGCACAGCCCCGAGTCAGGAGCTCTTGCTGCCTCGCGTTGTCTGGGAGCAGGCACCCTCCCCATCCAGTTCACCTTCGCCAAGCAAAGCTCTCTCTGGAATAACCGCTGAAAGCAAGAGTCTATAAGCCAAGGGGGTGCGGCGGGGCGGGGGGCGGGGTCGAGGAAACTAGAACGTTGAGAAAATAATCCAAAAGGTAAGAAAGGAGAAAAATGAACAGGATAGGATGGGAAAATAAAAAGCAGTGATAAGGAAATGGCTTTACACCCAAGTAGAAAAATAATTACATTAAATGTGAATAAACAAATCCAATTAAAGCAGAGACTGTCAGAGGGATTCAAAACCTCCCGTGTTTATTTTACAGTGGCACATATGCAAGGATTAGGAAAGGATTAAGGGACACCGTGACACTGATTGGAGGGTAGCTGATACCCCGTTTATGTCGCCCAGCCTTCCTGCTGTCCTTGTCGATTTTCCTTTTGCAGGCAGCATACAGCCCATGTACAAAGTTACTTTGTTTTAAACAGTCACTTGTCTCAGCTCAGGCCACCATAGCAAGATACCGTCAGCTGGTGGCTTGCACGCAGGTTCTACTCCTCACAGCCCTGGTGGCTGGAGGTCCGAGGTCAGGGTGCCAGCCAGACAGCTCTTGCTTGGAGGCCCCGGCTCCTGGCTCGTGGGCGGCCTCGTCTCCGTGCTCGGCAGCCTCTTCTGTGGGCGTGGGCGGGGAGCGAGCAAGATCATGGCGTCGCCCGTTACCAGGGCACTAGTCCCGGAACGAGGGCGCCCCTGTGGCCAAAGCAAGGGGGCGGCTACCGAGTCCGGGAGAGCCCCGTGGTGGCTGTCCCCAGGCCAGGAGTGACAGCGAGAGTAGCTGCCGAGGAGCTGGACTTCATTTGGTGACAACATTCTGCAGCTGCAGAGGCCCAGTGGTGGCACTACTCTGAAGAGCGGAAATCCAGTTGCCGCCACCACACCGGCAGGCGAGACGGCGCCCGGAGCCTGTCGCACAGGGCTGTTTGGCCGTGGTTAACAGACCAGAGGTCCCTGCGGGGGAGAAAGCGGGGTAGACGGTGAAAGCAGTGTTTGGTTTTAACCAGAACCGGGGCCGGCAGGCTTGAGAACGCAGTCTGTACGCGTGTCCCCTCACCCTCAGCGTCAGTCCTCGGGCCGGGAGAAGGCCGGGTGGGCAGGAGCGCCGAGGCGCGGGGCAGGAGCCGTGCTGTGCCTCGGGCACAGTTTGGAAGACTCCCGGCATCCTCAGAGGTGGCGGTAGTGCTGGCCCGTCACGTGTGTCTAGAGTACCAGGCCGGCCCCGCCAAGCAATGCAGTCACCACAGATGACCGCGGGCTACTCCAGGCACGGCTCTGCCGGGTGTGACGTCCTCACTGGAGCAGACAGTCCTCCAGCGAAGGGCGCGTGCGCACTGATAGGCCAACGCCTCGTTCCCAGGGCCGTCAGGCGGGAGGGCCGGTGCAGTCCGCCATCTCCTGAGAGGCTCCAGTCTGCCGCCACTGTCTCGTCCCGGGGCTCCGTTCCCTCGTGTGGAGAAACTGAACTGCCTGTCACCTCACCAAGGAGTGGTAAAGGAGGCGACTACACGTGTCTAATCACACGTGTTAGATACACCCTGGGGGGCAGCCGCAGGAGGCAGGGATAGGAAATTACAGAGAACAAAATGTCAGAGCCAGCCTGATGGAGAGTGGCGGGCGTCGCGCTGCTCCCCGTGCCTGGCGACAGCACCTGCTGCCCATCTGCCCACGTGTGGGCGGTGCGTGACACCGGCCCTTCTTCCAGGGACGCGGAAGCACGGCCACTGCAGCCTGGACCCAGCCGCTGGTATGTACACGCGTCAGCCCGCTGTACACTCGTAAGTGGGCATGTTCCTTTGGGTCTCAATTTCCACTCTCCCACAATACCCATCAGCCCTTCATTACAATATAGTCCAAAGACACTTGTCGCAGATATTAATGCTTGCCTGTTACACAGGCGCCACATCAGCATGGGCTAGGGAAACAGGAAGTGGCAGCTGCTTGGACAGGGGGTGTGGGCGTGCCGGGAGGAGGGAGAGAGACGCGAGGATTGTGGGTCCCGCCCTGTCAGCGGCCGAGGCGGCCAAGCTGTCCCTCTAATGGAAGGAACGAACTGTTGCCCTGCGTGCCTCCTGCCCCGCGTGCCTCCTGCCCCGCGTGCCTCCTGCCCCGTGTGAGAGAGGGCGCGCTGGGCCCCCAGGTCAGAGGCCGCCTGCTGCAGGAACACGGCTCTGGCTCGTTTGCTGAGAAACTCCGAGCCTGCCAGCTCTGCGTGGGGTCCACAGCAGGCCTGGGCAGCGATACAAGCCGCCCCGTCCCTTGGGCATGTGACCCCGCAGATCCAGTGGAGCTAGACGTATCTGCATGGATTAGGAGGCCACACAGAGTGGCCAAAAAGCACTAGCAGTCACAGGACAGGACCTGAGGGTCCCGGAGCAAGGCCAGGCCTCCGCCACGGAGCGCTACTCACTGTCTGAGGGCAGCACTCCAGTCTCACGGGGAGTGGCCGGCCGTGGGACATGAAGCGACCACACGGCCCGAACTGGGTGCTATCCTGTGCAGATGCAGGGGGCGGCAGCCGGAGGCTGGCACTGAGTCGCCAGAGTTCACAAGCCTGAGAACCAGCAGCCGGAGGCGGGTCGCTCCCCAGCCTCACCCCCCGGGAACTGCTGCGAGACTCGGCACTTCCATCGCCGCCATCTGAGACTCCGGGGACTGAGAGGTTCTGAGTCTCCGGGACGGAGGGGGGATGCAGTCAAGTCCCACTGAACCCAAAACGATGCCAGGGCCCTTGCCCTGGCAGACCAGCAGGCAAAGACGGCGATTATTGTGCTGGTGGCGTTCACAGACCCTGTGTCACCAGAAGCTCAGCTCTGACATGCTGCCTAGAAGTGGGTGGTCACAGCGCACACCCGCCTTTTCCCTCGTGGGTCCCTGCGCCGAGAGCTCGTGGCTGGGTCTACCGATCCTCTCCTGTAAGACTTGTTTCACAGACGGGGCTGGCCGCGCCTAGACCCTCGGCCGAGCTGGCCCGCTCCGGCGGCTGAGGGGGCGCCGCCACAGAAGGGACTCCTGCCCCTCACCCCACGCCCTCACCTGCCCCGTATCTGACAGCCTCTCAGCCCCCAGCATTCGTGTCTCTTTTCTCACCAGCCCGAGGGCTCCCTCTGGCATCGCATGAACCTGCTTGGTTGCCAGATGGCGGTGGTGTTGGGGAGTCACCTTTTTTCGGGGCAGCTCCAGAACAATGGGGCATGGGGAGTGAGGGGTAGCTCAGCCTCTGGGAGGGGGTGGCTTGGAGGGGCGTTCCACGTGATTTCTTGGGGGCTCCCCAGGGGATGGCCCCTCAGGCGCCCCCAGCAGTGTCCTGCCTGTGGTCCTGATGTTACTGGCTTTCTCCCTCCCCTGTCTCCCTGGCCCCATTCCCACCCAGGGGCCTCCTGGGGTCTCCTCCCAGATAAACTACCAGCAGCCACATCCTTGTCTTGGATCTGCTTTGATGGGAACCCAAATAAGACAAAGCCAATCTTACTGACAAGCATAGATGCAAAAACCCAAAGCACAGTACTGTCAAACTGAACTCATTATATATTTGAATAAGTGCATTTTTAATACACAGGGTCCAGCACAAATAACACCTCTTTTTTATTATAAAATCTTTTATTACAAAATCATAAGCATGTAACGCTGTCACGTAACAATGTCACACTCGGGCACACCGTATGGCGTTCAGGTGAAATGCTCACATCGCTGTCTCGCGCGAGACATTCACGTCCCCTCCCAACCACACTCAGGCAGGCGTGACGTATGCTGGGCCCTGTGTAATAGAGCTCAGGACACATCACAACCGAAGCGATTTAGTCTAGGAATACACCTGCAGTTACCAACACTGCACCGCACGCTGAGAAACGTGGGGAGGGCAGATCCCACGTTGCAGTCTTACCCCAGATAAGGGAAAGGGGCGGGCGCTGCGGGGCGGCGGTCCCATCCTCGCCCTCACCCACCTCCCCGCCCATCCGGCCATCCAGTCCCCCCGAACCTTGAACTCTGGCCGTTCCCAGTAAATGACAATTGCGGGTTTTATTGTGGCGAGGATGAGAGTTTCACTTTCTTTGAGAACTGTGTGTTCTACTGTTTGGGTTTTTAAATAAGTAACCTTTTAATAAAAATGTTTATAACGCAATATTTCTGTGTTTTAAATGGAAGCATGTTCCTGGCCTCTGAACCCTCCTATGTGCCTCACATCTCAGCTCCCTGGTCACCTTCATCTCCCTGGGGGGTCTCCCCCGCGTCCCGGCCTCATTTAAACCCCTCCCGCCCGTTCCCACTGGGACGACTCCTTCAGTGCTTTAGGAAGCGGCCGGCAGGATCCTTAGAACAACAGAGGCCCGACAGAAGCAGCCCCAGTCCCCGCCTGCCGCCGGGCGCAGCATCTCCAGACGGGTCCGGCCCCACCGCCCTGCACCACCCTGGTCTGATGCCCCAGGCAAAGAGGTGCATGCTGGGAGGACAGGGGTGTGGGGAGAGACCCAAGGGCAGAGTGGGTGTCAGGAAACACCCGAAACCAGATGGTCCCTCTCAGTCTCTCATTTCCATCAGTTTGTAAAACACAAGCCTCACCAGGGCCGCGGCGCCAGGCACAGAGTGGGCACCCCATAAACACGAATGAATGACGCGGGCGTTGCCGCCTCCCAGGCTGACTCAGAGGCCGACAGAGAGGGGCCAGCTGCCCCGAGTTCTCTTGCCGATCCCTGCCTGAGAGCGGACTGGGCAGCTGGGTGTCCTCGGCAGGTGCAACCCTGCTGCCATCAGGGGCAGGCGGGATCCCCAGGAGACACACCTGTGGAGGCCGCGGTGCGGTGGGGAGCACCGCCAAGGGGCCCCTGCGCCCGGGGAGGCGGCAGGGAGGGGACCAGCTGACGCGGACACCAGCCAGGGTGGCGTCCTGGGTGCCGCGGAGGGGAGCCTGCACCGACCACTTACGATAGAAGAGGTTGGAAACGAACCAAGGACTTACCTGCATGACCACGTCGGAACGCTTTGTTCTCCCGCAAGTGAATCGGACCTCCGCGAACATCAAGCAGGCCGCCGATCCGGGTGTGAACAAGACGTTGGCCTCCCGGCCACCGGACTGGGGCCTCTGCAGGCCCGCAAGCCCCAGACCTCGGGGGCGCGGCTGGATCTGGAGGCAAAGGACGCTCCCCACTGCTCAGTTAGGCCGCCAGCCGCCTCCAGGGCGCCCAAGAGAAGGGCCTCGCGCCCTGCGGCCCCCACCGGGCACCCGCCCTGCACGCAAAGCCCCGAGGGATGGAAGTCGCGGGCCCGCGCACGTCCGCGTGTCCGAGGCCGCGCCCTCTACGGGCTGGAGCGTGTCAGGCCCACCCCGCAGAGCGCCCAGCGCATCTCAATGAAGCTCACGCTGTCCGTGCACCTTGTTGGGGAGGCCCGGCCAACGCCCAGCCTGCGGGGCCCAGAGGACAGGGCCCGCAGGAGGCTGCGGGACGAGCTCACCCCGCCCCGGACTGTGCGGGAAGGCAGGCGCCACGCTGTCGTCACACGGCACTGCCTGGGTTCCAAGCCCTGTTCTCACCCCACCACACAGCGCCTGCCCAGGGCTGCCTGCGGGCGGGGCCCTGTGTTCTCATTTGACAAGAACCCTGAGAGGTCCCGTAAGCGGCCCAGGGTCACGCGGCAGCAGGGGCCCCGGGCTGCTGGCAGTGCACAGCCCCTGCTCCCTCCGGGCGGGACGTCCCCCGCCTCACACAGTGCTGCACCAAGTCCGTGGGGCCGGGGGGCTCACTGCTCTGGGGGGCGGGGGGGCAGCGGGAGGGGGGCTCATGGAGCGGGTCACCCCCGAGGGTAGGCCATCCACAATGTTAGCATGCGTGTGAATGAAAGAAACGACTGTTTTATGACGTCTTCTCTTAGGCTGAGGATTTACATCCAAATGGAGTTTCACGGACAGGCCCAGTGAGGTCTTATCCGCTGGTATCCAAGATGACAAGGGGCCGGGGGGGCGGGGCAGGCGAGCCCTGACCTGGCTGGGCCGCCGCCCTCCCTGTTCATTGTCTCCTCTCGTCGGTGGGTGCTGGGTACAGGGCATGCAACCTGGTCTGAAACCAGGACCCCTCCTGGGGCCTGAGGAGGCCCATCCGGCAGGAGCCCGTTCTCGGGGGCCTTTCAGGGTCAGCGGCCTCTTCCCTGTGGGGGTTGGGAGGAAACGGCCTGGGAGGGGGAGGTCCCTGATGGAGCTTCTGGAGGCGGCGGCCGGAGCCAAGGCAGGTTTTTGCTGGAGGGACTCGGGGCCACCCCAGGCCACAAGGGGCCTTAGCCAGCAGCCCGGGGGTCCCCAGGCTTCCCAGAGCCCAGAGGCTGGAACCCCAGTCTCAGGCCCTGGCCAGCCTGGCCGGTGGAAGCCCCGCAGAGCGCACCGGAGCCCCAGGTTCAGGAGCCGAATGACATTAGGCCCGTCCCTTACCCTCTGTGGCCACCATGTCCCTTTCTGCCAACGGAGGGACCACCCAACCATCTTCCTACCGGGGGTGGGGGGCTCATGAAAGAAGATCATGAGCTCCGTTAGCCTGAGGCGTCCCTGTCCCATTGCGCCCCCTCCTGGACGCTGCAGGCGCTGCAGGCTCCGCAGGCCCCCAAGGAGCAGTTGTGGGGCGGGGCCTGACGGCCCACCCCCTGCAGCGTTCTAGCGAGTCTTAGGAAACCACTGTGTCTAAAACTGCCTGCCCAACGGGGCAGCCACTGGCCACATGGGGCTATTTGCGCTGAAATTAATGAAAATAAAGTAAAATGAAGAACCGCTCACTCTGTCGCACCTGTAGCTGCTCGCGGCCGTGCCGGACAGGGCAGAGGGCACGTGCCCACGTTCTGGAGAGTTCTGCCGGGGGCGGCGCCCGGAGAGAGGCAGGGCTGTAAAGGTGCGTCTGAGAGAGCACCGTGTGCCAGGCTCTTGCTGAGAGCCAGCCTGCCTGCCTCGGCTCGTCAGCTCCCACGGCAGCCCGGGGGCAGGTCCCGGTGACACCCCGTCCGGCTGGGAACAGGGACCGGCTGGGGCTCAGTGACGTCCCCAGGCATGCACAGCGTCAGTGCCAGAGCCACAGCGCATCCCGCTGGCCGCACTGCTTCACGGCAGCTCTGGGCTTTCCCGACCTGCGCTCCCGGACCCCCAAACAAGGCTGCCTCCCCTTCAGGACACGTGAGACCACGCCCTGCACTCTTTATTGGCTTGGCTGAGGTTCCAGAAGATGGGGGGGAACTTTGTCCCCCTGGGGCCCTCCTCGCCCTGCACCCTCAGAGGACTTTGGTGGGCAGGGGCCGGATGATCCCGCTCTCTATGTACTCGAAGACGGTGTACGGGTCCTGGTCCCCATTGACGGCGATGGCCTCCTTGTAGAACTCCTCCAGCTCGGCCGAGCTCCTGTAGAACAGGTCCAGTTTGAACCTGATGTGCTCTTCCGCGTCCCTGGGGTTCTGCAGGAGGCGGGCCTGGACTTCCATGGTCGGGGGCGGCTTGTACATGAGGTGGTACCTGCGAGAGGGCAGGAGAAGCGGTGACCGGGGTCCAGCCCAGCTGGCAGTGGACAGTGCTGCCGTGGCCCGGGTCAGCCGCCGCCACCGCGGCTGCCGCCACACGCGGCCCGGGCCCTGGGGAGAGGGTTGCGAGCACCGCCGGGCAGAGCGGAGCGGCAGGCGAAGTCCAGCGCCCGCCTTGCTGTCACCACCTCCCTCTCTTCTTCCTTCCAAACACGGTTTATTAAGCATCTGCTCTGCCTGGCATTGTATCTGCCACTGACAACACAGTGACAAGCGAGGCAGACGCCGACGCTACGTCTATGGAGCGTACAGTGAAATGGGGGAAAGGACGTTGTCACGACAAACAGGAGCGGAGATGACAAGGGAGTGCCATAGACGCGCACTGTCGGGAGCAACCCCCAGGCAACGTGAGGCCATCGTGCCTCACGTGGGTCAGCCTGTCCCCCAGCAGCCAGGGCGACCTGCAGTTTAGAAGAACCCTGGAGTTTCCTTCCGGCCCCTCCTCACCCCGCTCCTGGCCGGTCCCGGTTGCAGGGGAGGATGGGAGCTCTTCCCCCCCCTGACTGCAGGGGCTTTAAAGTGCGTCCCATCACGCACGCAGCGACTGCACTTGGTCAGGCTGCAGAACGAACCTCCGAGGGCGCCCTCTGTGACCACGGGAAGGCTCCAAGGTTCCCGGGGGAGCGTGTACCGTGTCACTGGGACAGCCAAGGCCCAGGGATGCACACAGGTGACACCTGCCGGTGCAGCTGCTTCACAGGCTGGGCCAGAGCTGCCACCAGGGCTGCGCACGGGCGACATCACAGCCATCACTGTGGAGCCTCAGACTTTCGCGTCCTGGTTCCTTGTCCAGGCTCAGGGGCTGACGAACGCTGCCCAGGGGAGCGAGTTGGATGGACCCCCGTTCTAGAGTGTTCTGTGAGCAGTCACCAGGCTGTCCCGGGAGAAGCCCGGCCGAGGCACCAGTCAGCCACACGGAGAGAGGCGGTCCCCGGGGGCTGGCCCCAGGAGCCCCCCTGGTGACCGGCCCCAGGAGCCCCCCCGGTGACCGGCCGCTGGGAGCCTGGCACTGACCTTTCTCCGGTGACAGGGTCGGTTCTTCTCGGGGTCAGCCGCTCGATGACAGAATCGAGCGGCACATTCAGGAAGAACACCCTGTGGGGGCAGAATAGGCGCATGGTCAGCTGAGCAGCCCCAGCCGCTGGGGCCAGGGTTGGGGTCAGCCCCTGGGAGGGGTGGCACCTTGGGGCCCCCCAGGAGGGTGCAGGTGGGAGCCGCCTGCACCCCTGATTCGGGGCAGCTCCCAGCCCCCATCCCTCCTCGGGGGACCTCTGGGGGCCTCGTTCGGGGGAGCTGTGTGGGAAGCTGATGACCCGTCCTTTCCGGAGGACGGCGTGTCCTCTGGAGTCACACAGGCGGTTAGAATCTCACCTCCCCTGGACTTGCTGCCCTTGGGCGGTGGCAGCAGGGTGGGGGTGGGGGAGTGTCCTCATCTTCCTCGCTCCCTCCTTCATAAGGAGCCCCAGGCCCGAGGGGCAGGACCCCCAACGGTCAAGAGCCCAGCGGAAAAGTCAGCACTGACGGCTAACCCCAGGCTCGCCGGCGGGTCCGTCTGCTAAAGCCTGATTCCAACGGTTTCATGCCCGCTTTGGCAGCGGGCCCCTTTCTTGACATGAAACCTGAGGAGAGGGGTTCTCAGCCGGATGTGGGCCCCAAGAAGGCACGTGGCAATCAATATGTGGGGACATTTTTGGTTGGTTGTCACAACTGGGAAGGGGGTGCCACCGGCATCGCGAGCGTTGAGGCCAGGATGCTGCCAAACACCATGCAATGCACAGGACAGCGCCTCCCCGCAAAGAGCGGCCCGGCCCGGGGTCTCCAGTGCCGGCTGAGACGGGCGACGTGGGTGTGAGTGCGCCGCGGGGTGCGGGGCGCAGGCCCGAGTGTTTGCGGCTCCTGCCCGCACGCCTAGCCCCGGCCCTGCCTTCTGGCGTTGAAACATCTAGGTTTGCTTATAATAGCAACTTCTGGAACATTCCATGGTTCATTTACTGTCTACTTAACGCGCGGAGCCAGGCACTGCGGCATGCCCCTTGCATGGAACCGAGGCACGACGTTTAATAGAGTCATCATCGTTGACATCCAGGCTGGGTGACTGATGTGTGCGGCTCCCACTGGGGACAGCATCAGTGACGGCAGCTTCAGTGGCAACAAACACTCCCGCGCACCCAGGGCCTTGCTTGTTTCACTTTCAAGTAGGTAAACCGGGCGAGAAGCCCCTCTGAGCGTCAGGAAAACGCACATAAATGAGGCTCCCCTCCTCCACTCTTGGGGGCGGCCTTCCGGGGTGCGTGCGCTGCCTGCCCTGACTCACCCAACGAAGCAGCCCCTCGCGGTCACCCCACATGTATCGAGCGTGCGCCAAGAGGCCAAGCTCTGGTGGGTCTGACTGGACACGGGTCCCCACTGGGCCGTGGACCCACTTCCCCGGCCTGCCTGCTGTGGGCAGAGCAGCGACTGACCCCACCCCACCAGTGTCCCAGCAGCCAGCGAGGGCTCAGGGCGCAGCGAGGAACAAATAAAGGGAGGTGCGGCATGCGGTGCCGGGGGTCTGTTTAAACTCCCTGCCAACTGCCTGCCCAGCCAAAAGCTCAGCCAGCGGGTCGAGCTGGGAGTTCTTTTAAAGCACCAGGTCTGGAGGGACCGGCAGCTCGTCTCGCTCACCCCCAGAGTCCCCTGGGTTCCCGGGCCTGCGGGTCGCCAACACCCCCGCGCGGAGGCGCCGGGTTGGCAGGAACCGGAGGAGCCGAGCGCTCCGCCCCGGACAGCACACAGCCGCCAGGCGCCCGGCCGGCCCCCGACCCCCAGGGAGCCGTGGGCTGCAGGTGTTTTCTGGGGGAAGTGGCTTTGTGCCTCCCATCCATGCTGGCTCTTAAACAGGGTCATCACTGGTCTGGGGACTGAGGGTGCGGCTGACTGTGAAGAGGGGCAGGGGAGGCTGCCCCAGACGCTGCCCTCAGCTCACAGGCGCCCCCTGCATCCCCCCTCATCCCCCCCACCCCCCCTCATCCCAGGGCTGTAGGGCTGGGCCTGAGCGGGGCCCGGACGTGGCCCATCTGCATGCCGGCTCCTCCTGGCCACAGAAGCAGGTCAGGCTGCGGGCTGCTCCAAGCCAAGTCTGTGGGGGCCTGCCCGCCCCCCGGCTTCCCAGGAAGGAAGGGATTCCCTCTTGCGGGGGCTGTTAGGCTTGATGGTAGGGAGCCTGGGGCTGCCTGGGGCCTGCGCTCAGAGACAGCCTATCCGAGAATGAAGCCCACCCGCGAGAACAGAGAGCTGCCCAGAGACACGGTCCAGGGCCCTGGATCAAGCTGTGCCTGAAGCCAAACACCCCTCACTGTTTTCCTGACCTGAACACATAAATCTCTCCCTTTGCTCACACTGACCTAAGCTGCACTTCCTGCGGCTGCTGCCGAAGGGCACCTCCCACCGCCAGTCTCTCCAGTGCTGGCCACTGCTGGACAGCGTGTGAGCTTGAAAAGAAGGGGAGTCCCCGAGCCAAACGCCCCCTCCTTGCAGGCCAGCTGCTTCCGCCGCCTCCCCCCTCCCTCTCGCTCTTTGCCCAGGCTGTTGGCCGAGGTTCGCCTCTGCCCTGTCACCAGGAAGCCCCTCAGGGGGACCCGCTGCCCGCCCACCCGCAGGGCGGGTGCAACAGTTTCCCCAGCAGTTGGGGGCGGGGAGTCAGGTGCCACGAAAGCCCGCTTCTTCCCTGCACATGTCCTCAAAAACGACTTCTGTTCACAGCGTGCCACAAAATAATAGCCACCATATAAGACACGTGAGGTCAGGGAGCATGTGAACACGGGGCGTGGCGGTGTCCCAGCGTGCTTTTGTCCCTCCCACTCTGGACACACTGGGCCCCTGGCACTTCCCCGGTGCTTGGGAGGCCCAACAGCAATGCCAAAACGCGCTATCCCCACGGCGGGCGGCTGACGTGCCAGCAGAAAGGGAGCCAGCTCCGAGCCCACGCGGCAGACCGCGAGGGGCTGCCTCATTGGGCGAGTCAGGGCAGGCGGCACATCCACCCCGGTCATTGATGCTGCTTCATGAACAAGCCTCACGGAAGGACTTCTGACCCAGCAGCTCACCGAGGCCACTCGTCACCATTCAAGGGAATGGCTGCCAAAAGGCTGGCGAGGTCAGAGGCACAAGGATACCCAACTGGCCCTTGAAACGCGTTGCTGGGAAAAGCCTTGTGGGAGAGGCGCTGCGCCCCCAGCTGGGAGCTTCCGATCAGGGGGCTCAGGCACCTCGGGCCGCCGCTGGCGGTGGAGTGGGGAACCCACAGCCCCGTGCAGATACCCAGTGAGTGCCGCCCCCCACCCCGCATTTTGTCTTCTGCTACTTGCTCACAACAGCTCAGCCAGAGAAGGGCGGCCGGTGAAAGCCAAGGGGACTTGGATCCAGGCGTGCGGGCAGGGCCCTCTGGGGTGAGGGCAGAGGGCGACTGGAGCTCGCCTGGGGGCGGGAGGACCCTTGCCTTTGGGAGCGCAGCCTCTCGGGCTGGAGGGTGCCCCTGCTTCTTTTCTGCTCAAGGTGGGGGCCCTGGACCAGCAGCGCCGCCCCGCCCACCTGTGCCCCTGAGTCCTGGGTTAACGAGAGCCACAGCGAGCTGTGCGCACACCGGGGCTGGAGACGTGAGCAGCTCTGGGCCCGCGTCACCCAGGTGTGTCTGAATTGGAGAACTGGCCAGAGGTCTAACTTAAAGATTCTGGGTGTCCCTCCCCAGAGCCGCTCAGCCACACTCTGCAGGGCCAGCGCGGGGCCTGGAGGATGCCGAGGCCGGGGCCGCTCCGAGAGATGCCGGTGTCCTTGGTCCAAGGGGAAGCCTGGGAGTGAAGATTTTTAAAAGCTTCCAAGGTAGGTAGCCGAGGTTGAGAGCAACGGCTCTGATCCAATCTGCTCAGTGGACAAGATGGGGAAACTGAGTCTCAGGCGAGGACTCATCTGTCGCATGGGGCATTGCTGTCAGGTGCCTGGTGACAGCGGGGTCCCACCCTGCGTCCCCGACGCCCTCTGGCCATCCTGCCTGGGGCTCTGAGCGGGGAGCCATGGAAGTCTCCCCCTCCACGGCTTGAAGCTGGCCCCCTCCAGCACTGACTCCCTGTAAATGGAGGGCTGGCGTGTTCCCAGGACCCATGGATCGATTTGGCACATCGAGAGACAGGCCAGAAAATAACTGACGTTGACTGCGGTGCCCCGTCCTGCCCAGCGGCGGGGGCCTGTCCGGCCTCCGCTCGGGCAAAACTCTGCACAAACCCCACGGAGCCACCACAGCGGGACACCCCCTGACGCCCACTGGGATGGCTGCGGCCAGCACGCCAGCCAACCGCTGACGCTGGCGAGGGTGCAGAGGAAGGGGGCCCTCGGGAACGCCGAGCGCTGCGCCTGCGGCGGGGAACGGTGCGGCGGACCCCCGAAACTTAGGCAGGACTGGCGCAGCGCCCAGCGGTCCCACGTCGGGTGCGAATCCGGAGGGACTGGATGCAGGGGCTTGAGCGGGCATCCGCGCACCAGCGCTCGCAGCAGCATTATTCATCGCAGCCCGAGGTGGGAATGACCCAAACGTCCGTCAGAGGGTGGTGTGTGGACGAACAAGGCGGCGTGGGCAGCCGAGGCCTGGCTCGGCCTGGGTCTAGGCCTGCCGGCCTCGGGACCAGACCACGCCGGCCCTCCAGAGGCCCCGCCACCGACTGTCCCTGCAGGTCCTGGCCCGTGTCGGCACCCACAACCCCATGAGCCCGTCCCACCTCTGGTTCCCATGCACAGGGTGCACCCCGCGGGCGGGCTTTGCTGGAGAGCCGTGAGGGACACAGCGGCCCAGGCAGGGCTCGGGCGCAGGCAGCGGCTCCCAGTCCGCGCCACTCGCCCCCGTGCTCCTCTGCGAATCGGGCAGAAGGAAGGGTCCCCCTGCTCCGCGCAAACCAGACACCCGGGGTGTGGGGGCGGCGGCAGCTCTCCGGGGCCACGCGGCCCGGGGCCCTGGGTTCTGAGCCACAGGTGCCACTTTCCTCCCCTCCAAGCAGGTCTGCTCACCAGGCTTAACGGCAGGAAACGGTGCAGAGGCCAAGGAGGCCTCTGCACACCGTTGCCGCAGC